CATAGCATACCATACATACATGGTAGTCATTAATGAGAAGAACTAGATATGTTTTATCACTTTCATGTATTAAAATGTTGTATATCCTCATGTTGCTACAACAGAAGAATCATTTCAGATCTTAATGTGACATATGAAAATAATTGAAGATTTCCTTAAGAAGATGTTATTTTATATCTCTTCATGCCACATTATCCAGTAAATAAGAACCGCTAGATTAAATATTGATCCAACATCAACTAATGCACAACCATTCAAATTGATATTTTGTTTCCTTAAGAAGTTTTAAAAATTATCTTACATACTCAGTTCTAATCATATCCTTGAGTTAATTTGTGTTTTGTCATCACTACCATATGATTAAAAAAATGCCATATAAACTTGTATAGGACAACTTTACTAAGTTTATCACAATACTTTTATTTTGCAAGTACCCCTTATCTTCCCTTAAAAATAACTTGTAATTTTTTTTCAATGCTTCTTAACAATTATTATCTAGTTTAGTTACTCTTGCCTACAGCTTTTCACAGGACTCAACTTTCGTTCTCTGAAACACCTAAGGTGCGGACAATTAATTTGTAATGGATCTACTGAAAATAGCCACCGTTCAAAAAACTTACATATAGACACCAGCAAACAAATCTTTTTGCATAATAAAAAGAACCTCTAAAAAGGTGAATTGGTTTTATAGCATCGAAAGTTTTTGTTTTGTTTTTGTTTCACTGAAAATTTATGGTTTATTTTAATGGCACCCAAAGTTAATTATCTCTGTTCTCTAATTTAGCATTCCATCCAACCTTCTGTTAGATTTCCTTTTCTTTAAATCCTTTTTCTTAATAAAATGAGATAATATACCAATACTACTCTATTCCTCCTCCTACCATCGTTCCCCTCCCTATGTGAGCTCAGACAATCGGCCATGCCACAGCCCTGGTGCACCTCCATTCTTGAGCCTGAAAACCAGCCACACCTCGAGTTCGCCTGGACGAGCCCGGGAACTCGTCAGCCGGTTCCGTCGAGCTTGCACACCGCACCGCCCTCGGAGCTCGCTGACTCTGCCGTCCTCAAGCTCAATGGCTCTACTGTCCTCCAGCTTGTCTGCCTGCGCCATTGAGCACGCATGCCGTGCAGCCATCGACCTCGTCCGCCGGCTCCATTTGAGTTTGCTCAGCATGCTGCCCTAGATCCCATCCGCCGACACCGTCGAGCCTTCCTACTTCATCACAATGGGTCCGCCGGCACCGTCTAGCTCGCGAGCTCGCGCTGTCCTCGAGTTGTTCTGTCACGCAGCCTTTCAGTTCATCTGGATGTGTTGCTGTCAAGTAGGGGTGGACAGGAAGCTCGTGGCTCGTTAGCTCGCTCGGCTCATGACAAGCTCGGCTCATCTCGGCTCGTTTGATTTTCCTAACGAGCCGAGCTGGCATTTTAGCTCGTTAGAGATAACGAACCAGCTCGAGCTAGCTCGCGAGCTGCTTGCGAGCCTTAACGAGCCAGCAGTCCAACAGCCAACAGCAAAGGCCCAGCAGCCCAAGACAACACCAAGGCGGCAAGGCCCAAGCCCAAGACAATAGTCAACAACCGAACAACAAAACCCTAGGCGCACCGCGCACACACGGAGCCACGTTCACGCTGCATCTCTCTCTCTCGCGGTCTTCTCTCTCGCGAATCGTCACGCCGCATCCCCTTCTGCCCTTCCGCTATTTGCTTGTTCCGCATCCATCCCCCGCCACCAGCTAGGGACGCCGCCGCCGCCGCCAGCCGCTAGGGCCACCGCCGCCGCTAGGGCCGCCGCCGCCGCTAGCTAGGGACGCCGCCGGACCTCCCCTCCTCGGCTCCTCCTCTACAAGCTACGAGCCTGCGTCTACGATGGAGCGCGCGAGCATGACGCTGGCCTCGTCGAAAGCAGCGGCGGCGAAGGCGGGAGCAGCACGATCATCTTGTTGTCTTGTTGGTTTGGATCGCGAGCCTAACGAACTAGCTCGAGCTTTCAAACGAGCCGAGCCGAGCCGGGTTTCAAGCTCGTTAGGATAACGAGCCGAGCCAATCCAACTCGTTATCCTAATGAGCTAGACCGAGCCGAGCCGGCTCGCTATCCGCCCCTACTCTCGAGCTCATTGTCCAATGCGGCGATGTGTCAATCTCACTTGGAGGTCCGTTGCCTTGTTATGTTGGGTGTGGATCCGGAAGACGGGGAGTGGAAGAAGAAGACATTGGTAGGCTGGGGAGACATGTAACAACAATATTGATAGAATGCTGAAAGAAGTAACAGACGTAACTTTGGGGTTCTATTAGAGTGAACTGCGAATTTAAGGTGCTACAAAACCAAAAATGAGAACTTTCGATACTATAGAACCAATTTTGCCCTCAAAATAGTATTAACCTAATAGAGATCTGATCTAACCGACATTGCAAAACGGTTCCACCGCTAGTAAACAGTCAGTCTGATTACTGATAATATCTCACTTTGACCGCTTGTACACCTCTAGTCTGAACACAACTTAACATGTACAACTCTTCACAAGATGTCAACTTTAATGCATTAAGAGGTGTTTGCAAAGTGCATCCAAAGCATTCCTCACACAACTTTCAAACACAAATCAGAATGCAAGGCTAAACCCTAATTTTTCTCTCTAAAAAAACATTTCGCACCTAAGCTTCAACCTCTATCTATTTAAACCCATAGGTGGATGCTCGAAATTCAATAATCCTACTTGAATTAGGAGTTCTATCCCATAGGAAACCATCTAAACAAGGAATACAAATATCCCTTTACAAATTTAGGCGTAAATCCTACTCAACTTAGATACCCTCCAAATTTGACTCATTTTCCATACCCGCAGTACACTTCTCATGTATGCCATATGAAAACTTTACATCCAAGTGTACTGTTATTTAGCCCCGCGATCTCCTTAATTGACTAGACATCAACATCCCCCAATTCAACTGTCGATCCATTACTAACAACAATCCCATGACCTCAAACAACGCCTACACATGAACAAACAAGCAGTTTGAGCATAAGTTCTTTCCCAACTTAACTCACATTTGCATAAGCGCATCATATGATACACATATGAAACAATTAGAAGAGATAACCATTGAAGAATTAACGTGAAAACAAAATACACTTTGAAACCAACTCCCCTCAGTGTTGTGTCAGCCTAACCATCATGATGTCTGATTGTTCCCATGCCATAGATTAGACTGCAATGCACGCTGCGCCAACCCACCATGTACCGCCAGTTTGAATAGCAAAGCTCCTAGTCAAAATGCCAGTGCGCTGACACATAACCAACAAAAAAACGCCACACAGCGACAAACATATTAACAATCACCATAGCCAACTGTTCATCATAAAATAATAATCATGACAATGATTTTATAGAGACCTTATGAATTTTGTAAAATTTATTCTTCTAGATTCGATTCTTAACTGCCGAATATATTGTTATATAATAATCATCCATCCAGAAAACAAGAGTAAGAATACTCTCATAACATGGTTATAGTTTGAATTTTAAGTTTTCAATTACTTTAGACTATATTTGTAAGTGCGAAGGGAAGCTCGTATTTGCAATTTGGTTGGTCCACAGAAAATACTTTTTGAATAATTATCCTTAACAAAGCATTATAATAGGGCTTGCATAGTTCAACTATATTTAACTTTCTGAAGAAAATGTTCTCATATACATATAAAAGTCTATTACTATATATTTCATTAACAATTAGTCAAACTACATATTTCATTAATAAAGATCACACCAATGGGTCCATATTTCAAAATACTTTTGCACAATTTTGATTCCATAAATATTAAAAAATTGTGAAAAGTCGATGGTTGTATCACAGTGAATCAAAACCCTCGAACTTGCAAGGCCTTCTCTATAATGATACTCCAGTCTCCTTCCTCCTCCAACTCCAGTGTAGTGACGAGGGGATGGGGTCTATCTCTCATTCTATCAAGCATTTAGGGTATTAGACTTGTTAGGTATTATCTTTAATCTATGGAGTTAGTTTTGTTTATGTCTTTGTTAGTGACTAACTAACTACTTTGTTTGAGCTTATCAATAAAGCCCTAGAAAGGCATGTCTGTTGGGTTGCCAATGTTCCAATTGGTGTTGTCATCTTTGGGTTACCAACTTGTTTTGATGTTGGATTACTAGGAATGAAAAATGGTGTCTGATGTGTTTCTTCATATGATTTTGTGTATGCCGAGTTTGGTCAATGTTATAGTTGTGCTTGCCTGTTATATCTCTTGTATTACAACAATCTAATATGTGGGGATGTCTATGTATCATATTTTATATTCTTAAATTCATATAACAACAGGTTATAACATTTTCTCTTATATATTTAGCTCTATTTTAGAAAAAAGATCAGCGGTGACCATTTAATCTCAAACAAATTACACAAGGAAATTAATAGTTACATAAAAATCAACGTATACAATACAATTCAATTTAAATTTTTACTACCTTTGTCTCAAATATATAGGAAAAAATATGTTATGAGACTGAGAGTATTACAAAGAGCCATAGGGTGGCTTTGATACTCTCTCTTTCTAATCTCTATCATATCATCTTTTGTGAGCACGCTTTCCGAACAATTAAATGATGTGTTATATTTTAATTAAAACTATTATAATACACAATACGTCAATGAGCCACCTATTTTAATGTGCTTGAAGAAGTTCCCAACCCTAAACACAGCATTGGATGTGCTCAGTACCACTGGTCGAAAACTTTTCACCTCCGCACGGAAATGAGGCTTATTAACACATGGTGAATTAAGTATTAACTATTTTATTTTTTTTTACAACAACATACCTGTAGAAAAAATTTAGAAAAATCCAACAGTTCGGAAGCGTGCTAAGAGGCAATAAACGAGAAAAGTTGAGAAACTTCGAGTTCCGAACACTGGACCGGGGCCCGCGGACTCGTGGACTACCCAAGCCCCACGAAGCCCTGAACCCATCCAAATCCCGCACAGGGAGATATTTTCCGCGAACCCATTCCCATTCCCATTCCCACTCTCCCTCCCTCCGCCGCCAAATTCGCCGGAGAAACAAAAAAAAAATGGACCGCCCGCGGCAGCAGCACGAGCCGGAGCATCTCGGCGGCGGCGGCATCGACGTCGAGGTCGAGCTCGACCCGGAGGACCTCCAGCCGTCGGTGCCCCTCAAGAAGGTCCCCGCGGGGGACCTCTTCGAGGCGGCCCGCGCGGGGGACTGCGCCCGCCTCGCCCTCCTCCTCGGCGGCGGCGCCAACGTCAACGAGCGCGACCGCTGGGACTCCGTCGCGCTCTACTACGCCTGCCTCGCCGGCCACGCCGACGCCGCCCGGATGCTGCTCGAGGCCGGGGCCGTCTGCGCCGAGCGCACCTTCGACGGCGACCGCTGCCACTACGCCGCGCTCAACCTCCGCCTCCGGAGGCTGCTCAAGGCGTTCGAGGCCAGGCCCCCGCCGCTGCCGCCGCTCCCCGCCGCGCTCAGGGCCACGTTCCTCGCCTGCCCCGCCAACCGCGCCGCCTTCCTCGAGATGCTCCAGTGGACCGCCGGCTCCGAAGCCGCCGCCCTCGCCGCTGCTGCTGGTGAGTGCGTCTCCTTGGATCGCTTATGCTGATTGGATGTTTGGGTGCAATTTTTATCTATCGGTGACATGGGATTGAAAGTTGAAGCTCCTTGTGGAATGATTTATCATGAATGCCAGCATTGGATGATTGAGTGGTGAAAATACATGGAGTTTGGTAGCTATACTGTGATTTCAATCGAACCTATGAATTCACATATCGTACTAATATCGATTTAACATTTGAAATGCACAATCGCAATTGGTTCGTCCATCTATGTGATACATCAAGATACTATGATATACAAGCCAAAGGTTATTTGGTTGATAAGTGTTGTATTCCCATATTTTCTGACTAAGCAGGATTTGGGCCAACGGACAATCCATCAAGTACTAGCCTATTCCCTCCGGACATTACATTCTACGTGGATGGAAAACCAATTGAAGCTCATCGGGTCATTCTTTGTGCCCGGTCATCCTTCTTTCGGAGGAAATTCAATACAGACTGGAAAGACAGGAAGGAAGTGAGATTTTCTAGCCAGAAGTTATCTTTTGGTGCCTTGTACAGCCTTGTCCATTTCTTCTATTCTGATAGACTCGAAGTGGATGTGGATGATATGGAAAATTTGGCGCGGGCGTGCAAAGTTTGTAAGTGTGAGGGTTTGCAAAAGATATTGATTAAAGAAGCTACTCTCCAGAGATATGCAGAACACAAGTCACCGAGAGATTTGGACAGTTCACAGAAGAGGTTCATTTTACATGGGCAATCCTTGCCAGAGGAGGATCGCCTTCCATCAGCCCTGCGGCATATTTTTGAGGAATGTCTAGCTAACTCAAGAGAACAAGAATGTTATAACGATGAATCAAATGAAATGAGCAGAGACTCTGGTGTAGATGCTGCTGCTGATCTTTATATAAAAGTATGTGATAAGGTTTTCCATTGCCATCAGGTGATTTTAGCCTCAAGATCAGAGTACTTTAAAGCTAGGCTATCTAGAAACATGGATTTTCTTGAAGTCAAGAGTGGGCTTCAATCAACTCAGAGCCTTCCTTTTCTTGAAGAGCATGACATGAGTACAGAAGCATTTGAAAAGGTGCTTGAATACATGTAAGATCCCTTTCTCTACTTCTTTGACCATCATGTTACTATTATTATGCTCTTATTTGTTGCTTGCTTATGTCAACTTTAGGTATACTGATAACCTAGAGCATATGGATCCTAATCAGGTGAGATGTGCAAAAGAGAAATATATTATGTCTTGTAAAAAGGTTCAAGTGGGTTTGTTTTGTTATGAAACTGATTTTCATGTACAACTTTGCCAGGCTGAAGAACTATTTGATATTGCTTCGAGATACCTGCTATTCCCCCTTAAACGAGTTGTGGCAGATATACTTTTGCCTTATCTGGAGCATGTTTCACCTGCAGAACTATGCCACTGGCTAATGTTATCAGACATGTATGTGTGATTACCATTTCATCTATGCAAAGATTATTTACTGTATCATATAAGGTCAATACATTTGTTTTCCAAATGCAGTTATGATGTTGTGAAAATAAGGGAGTATTGCTTGGATATCATCGCTTGCAATTTTGAGATGTTTGCGGACACAAGAGAGTTCAGGGCATTGCTTTTGACACTTCCACCACCATCTGGAGATGACTCACTGCGAACAACTCGTCCCAGTGAACCTGGTACTGCAGGCAACACTGACCAAGGCAACCTTCTTGATGATTTGCGTGAGAAATGGTTAGAAGCAGAGGCTGCTGAGCTAGACGAGAGAGATGAGAGTGCAAAGCTGTTTGACAACCGATTGGAAATGCTTATGCTTGTAGCAGAACAAGAAGCCAATGATGGCAATGTTTGACTCCACTGAGAATTTGCACTGTACCTTCTCGTGTAGCTCTGTTTTTGAAGTCTTCACTGAAGGTGCTTTACTGTTTCTCAGTTTATGAACTTGCAGTCTTCACTAAAGGGTTATATAGTTGTTTTTGAATTATGAATCTATCTTTTGTCGCCCAACATGAAACTGACACTTCAACTGGTATGGGTAGAATAATGAATATTAGTGCAAATTTAGCATGCCTGCTCTTTGTTGCATAAAATCTCACTGCATATACACTGTAAAATACAAAGGAGTCCTTGATTGCTTAAAATGGTGCAATCCTGCTGTTGGAACCACCATGGCCCATGGGATGAGTATTGTTCATCTTTTTAAATATCTAATATTTTTCGCATAGGAAACTTAAATGGATAAATCCACACAAGAAGAAAGAAGTAAACCACATTTCTGGAAAAGAATAACCTTTTTAACATACACAATTCATGGCCCCTGTTATGACACTACAAATTCACCTTATGTAGTACATCATAAAGATCAAATTTAATGAACAGATATTAGATATATATATATATATATATATATATATATATATATATATATATATATATATATATATGTGTGTGTGTGTGTGTGTGTGTGTGTGTGTGTGTGTGTGTTTTCATCTCGTGCTTATTGTCAATTGAGACTTGTACTAGCATGGTAACCCTATGTAATGCTGGACACAGAGATACTAAATCCTATAAAAACTGGGCTTCTCCTTGGTTGTAATAACTTTATGTGTGAAAAGGTACTGATATCCTGAAACATCATACTGCAGCCATAATATCACCACTGTGTGCCTGATGTAGCATCATTTGTGTTTAAGTTGGACATACTGTCAGCCAAAGAATTCACAAATGAAGAATCCTAAGTAAATCATCTGTGGTCATCGGGAGGACACGCCATCAGGCAGCCTTGTTCCCCCTCTGAATTTTCTGCTGTTGAACCATGATCCTCTGAAGCGATTTCAGAGGCAACATGTGAAGCCATAGTTGATGATTCTGATGATTCAGAGGCTGTGGCTGTTTCTGCATACTCCAATACATGATGATGACTCTGGCTGTTTCTGCTGAATCCAATCCATGATGCCAGTCAGCGTTAGGATCGGACCTTTGGGCTAAGGTACAAGGCAAGAAAAAGTGTTCATTTATAGGATAATACTGTTGTGATACAATGAGTTCCAAGTAAAATAATTTGGTAGTATCTGAAATAATTTGGATGATACAGAGGGTAATAATTTGGTAAGGTCTGAAGTTAAGATTCTGGAAAAAAAAAATTGTAGGATCATGATCATAACATCCTTCCAAAATCTACTGGTTATGTATACTTGAGTATAAAGAGGAGGATAGCAAATGTCCTTTTATTATTAGGCTGCCTTGGAAACCCAATTTTAGCTTAGAAACCCTCGACATTATAATCTGTACACAAATTATGTCCATTGTATTGCTAGCCTGCGATAAACAACCTTAGAATAGGAGACTGTAACCAGTGTCAGATGATTAAGCAAAACTGCAACCAGGACAGAATCACAAATTCAGAAATGGACCAAAAACAACACTGTCTTCAGCCTTGGTTACAGCCTCCCAGTTCAGAGCCCTTGGCCCGTTGGCCGTACTCTACTTAAAAGTTCATGGAGATCACCTCATTTATTACACCTCATTAGCGCAATTTCTTAATCGATCAATGGCTTTCGCGTTTCAGATATGATGGGGCCGATGAGGATGTGGTGGCAACGGAAATCATGCCCATCTGAAACTCTTGAATTGGAAACTTGGGGACTGTTTAACCACGCTACTTACATGTGGTCACTGAATTTCAGAGGTATCCTTTGGATTGGCACAGGATGAAATGAGCGATTTCGTATGAACTTTGTGGATTCCAATTGCTAATTTCTGTTCTTTTCTTAGAAATTTCAACACTTTTTTAATGTTAAAAGTGTGCTCTTGTACAGATCCAATTTATAGCTTCCTTTTAATTCTTTTTATTCTGATATACCTGTTATTTTGTACCACATTTGCATGTACCTGATAATTTGGATTCAATTTTCTGAGAACTCAAAACCTGTAACGTTGCCATTTGCCTATCGTTGTACACAACGAGGCAATTCAACCTGCAACCGTTGCTTGAAAACGGAGCTAGTAGTACAATTCTCTGAACACCCAGCATTCCAAGTTTACAACTGAGCTCGAGCGACAGGCACAGATTAACAATGCTGACCTGACAAATGAATCTACTATGTGTCTACAAACAATCGCTGTAACCAATCATCCTTACACTCTGAAAAGATCAGAGCAGACAGGGACAGGGCAGCCTGAACATGCCTCTTTCACAGATGCCTGCCATCCTCTTCTGCTTGGTGTCCAGCTTCTCAGGACTTGCAGGGCCAGTCCCGGCGGATGTCGAAGGTGTAGTTGATCTCCAGGTAGCACTTCCGGTCATCATCGACGAACTGGTGATGGAGCGAAATCGAAACTTGATTCAGTTCAGTGGGCGCGGGAAGCAGTGATCGACATTCTGGTTTTCTCAGAGGTGTATCACGGTATCAGATTTCATTACCTTTGTTTTTGCAGAGTATGATCCCCGAGCAAATACTCCCGAGGGGGTCGTCTCCTCAGGCGTCACGTAAGTGTACGGCTCCAGCTGAGGGCTGAACGTGCCAAGCATCTCCTTGGTTTTGTCCACTGCAATGAGCAACATTAATTTCAAACAAATCAAACTCAGGAAATCTTGCAGGAAAGAAGAAAAGAACAGGAGTGAATTCAAAGGCCATATGTTGCAGGAACTCTACGACAACACAATGAAGCAGTTCTGCAGAAGAAAGCGGACAATGAGGATGGTGATGGTGCACCTCGGATGCCGGCCTTCCATACGGTGTTGGTGTAGCGGAGGCCAGAGACGATGTTGCTGCTGACAGAGAAGGTGAACTTGAGCCTGTACGTGCTGCCTTCCTTGAGGGTGAACCATGGTTCCTTGGAGTTGCTCGGCTCCACGGGCAGCGGCAGAAGGACGTCCGGCCGCCCCGGTGACAGGATGCACAGGCTTGTGATCCTCACGTCTGGCTCCAGTGACTCTGCCACATGAAAACTTCCCATTAAACTGCGTGCATTGCTTCATTTCCTTCTCTTGCACCTCCCATCAAGAATTCAAGATGATGCAGATTAATGTGCTCCCTTCATTCAGAGCACAAGACGACAGTTTACTACAGTCATACAGGCAAGAATCATCGTTTCTTTTCTTTCCTTTTTTTAGCAGGGAAGAATCACCCCATCATTTCTATATTAACTATAGGGATGCATCACCTCAGATTGTGCTTAGTGTTGCGTGCTCTGTTTTAGGAAGACACTGTATCATTGCCCTTATCAACTTTTTGACCACTGCTTTCTTTTGTGCATGAGAATCCTAGGCATATGCACTAGAATGGGAGACTGCACCAGCAAAGTGCCGACCAAAAGCATTTGCACAAGCTCAGACCTGCAATCTTCCGTTTTACAATTTAGAAATGATTTGTTCGCATGAAAAGATGGCAACTTCACTGCACACCATGCACCATGACTTTTTTTTCTCTTTTCTGGCAAAACGCACCTTTCCCTTGGCGGGGCCTAGATGTACAGACTGGAACATGTTCCAGGAACCCACCATGGAATTGTGGAGATTATTCCAAAAATCACATGCAACAGTTTCCAGAACTTCTCCCACAATCTCATATGTAGTATAGAGGAGATGATGCTATACAGCCATTTAAAATCTAGGGGCCAAACTGGATTTAATTCGTGCAAGATATGCATTTGACAAACTGCAAACAAATATCAGGATGAACAGTGTTTTGAACTAAAAAAATGTATTATTGTTCCTTGCATGTAATTTAATGCCTTTAATTTTGCATTGCAGCATCACCTCCTGTGCATATAAGATTTGTTTACGAACTTGTAAAACTTCACCAAATAGGTGAAGTTCCTATGGTAAATCTCTACTTCTAGAGTGCACCAGTGAGATTGTCATGCAGAAATTTAACGCAAAATTAGCTGGCACTAATTATAGAGTGCACAGTGAGCCCACTGAGCAACCTAATCAATGTGGTAAAAAATCGTGTGTCGCACTTAAAGTTGAAAACTATATAAATTGACAGTGATAGAACCAAATATAAATTGACACTACAGTGATAGAACCACATAATTTCTAACTCAATGAATGAGCTCCTTTACACCGCTGAAACATATCCAATCAAAGATTATTAAAAATTTACTCTCCAGAAAAGATGCTCCCTTTTTGACCGTGTGGTTGCTGGCATTGCAAGCACTGCAGTACAGTACAGCAGCATCAAACAACCACCACCCAGGATCACACAGTAAAACGGCGGAAACCAAACCAACAAAAGAATCCGATTGATTAAAATTGATTGGGCGCGGTTTTTGGAAAGGGAGCACAGAAGAGATCAAATCCAAAATCCTCAACCAGATTAAGATGGTGCGGGTACCTAAATTAAGGGGGCGAAATGGATGCGATTTGGTGTGGATTATAATTGGAAACCATCTACTGTTGATAAAAAAATTTACCTCCGACTGAGTTCAAATCGACGCTGCCAAGAAGCTGCTCCTTCCATCTCCGAAGGCTCTCATCCTCCTTCCAAGTTGCAATCAGCAGAGATCACCATGTGAGGAACAAATAATTATCGAGCACTAGTGGTAAATAATAATTAACTAAGCTACCAACAAGCAAAAAAAATCTTGAGAAGGGATAAGAAAAAAAGAAATTGGAGCGAGAAATCGGGGGAAGGAATGGAGACCTTGTCCATCTCGAGCTGCTCCTTGATGCTGACCCTGGGGCCGAGGTCGATGGCCTCCGCCACCTTCCCCTCATCTTCCTCGTCATCGTCCTCCTCATCCTCCACCACCTCCTCCTCCTCCTCAGCCTCAGCGGCGCGCGAGGACCCCTCCGTGAGCTTCTCGGGGCGCGCGGCGGCGGCGGGCTCCTCTTCCTCGACTCGCCGCAGCTCCTTCCCCTCCAGAGACGGCGGTGGCTTCTCGTCGTCGTTGGAGGAGGAGCAAGAGATGGCGGCGGCGGCGGCGGAGGAGGAGGAGGGTTCACCGGCCGCCGAAGACATTGGTGGCGGCGGAAGAGGGGGCGGGGGCGGAGGCGGAGGCGGTGGAGGTGGTGGCGACGGATGGAGATGCAGGAGCGTGCGAATGTGCGAGAAGAATAGGTGGTATAGTGTTAAACGAAAATGTTATACACACGACTGCGACGTACGACTCTTGTCCGACTAGCTTTTAAGCTGAGAAGCTGGTCTACGTGGAGCGAAACGCTTGGCAGGTGAGGTTGGGTCGGATGGGAGTCGAACGAGGGAGTCGGACGTATAGCAGTGCTGCGAAAATGCTATACACACGACTGTGACGTACGACTCTTATCCGACTAGCTCTTAGCTGCTAATTGCCCTGGCCCACATAGAGAGAAGCTGGTCTGCGTGGAGCGAAACGATTGGCAGATGAGGTTGGGTCGAATGGGAGTCGGACGAGGGAGTCGGACGTATAGCAGTGTTGTTAAATAAAGCGTGACGAGTGGCGAATCAAGGGGCGTTGTCAGCTGTGGACAAAGCAAGACGGAAGAGCAGTGTAGTAGGCTGTGTATGTTGGCTCCTTTCAAATTTTAAGGAGTTCTACGGCTTAGAGCAGGTACGATAGCCTGGCTTAGCCGGCTCCAAAATAGTATCACATCATACGTGGAGTAAGAAGAATGGTACGAGGATATATGTATAAGCCTTTCGATTGAAATATATAGAATTTTGTTCAGTAAATCAGCTAGGGATTGAAAATATTATATTGGAGGGGTAGGAAATTTTCCTTTCGATAGATTCCTTTAAAACGAATGGCGGTTTAGTGATGTTGCATCTTACTGTTCTCTTTTTTTACGATTCCTTTAAAACGAATGGGCATCTTATAAACTGGATCAAACTTATAAATACAAAGTGATAGTAGATTGGGATAGGAAAGCTCCGCCTTTATGAAGCTCTATTATTATTTAGCAACATTCGGTTCGGTTCAACTCCAGCTCCAATAACCAAAGGATCTAGGAGCTCACATCCTGCCAAATACATGCCCTTAAAATTTTTCTCTCGCTCGGATTGGCTATCCAGCTTGGGCCGTTAGCATGTTCGCTTCTAAACTATAATAACTAATGGATTTATCATACAATTACATGGAGATGTCATATAAAACTATTGCTTTTAGGTAACTCACCATAGTCATCCTTCGTCGCTTGTAATTATATTTACTTGTAACTTTTATCGATTAATCTACACGGTTATATCTTAAATGACCCACCACAATTAAATAGTGCGCATCTTTCTCTCTTTTTCTTTTTCATTAATGAGGAGATATTTAAGTTTTCTAAGCTAATGTGATGGCTAGACTTTCCTTAATAATATACTCTGCAATAGACAAAAGTTCAAATAACCCATTAAACTTTACCTAACATACCATCTAACATATTGAACTACATATTAAACTAAGTATAGTGAGTCAGCGGCAAAGGCAGCTCCCGGGTAGGTCGGGCGACTCCCGGGCTTAGTCGCTGCCACCTTCACTATGGATTGCAGAATCGGTAGATCACTAAGAAACACCACTAGCTGCCTAGGTTCGACGGCGTGGCTGGCTCCGCCAAAATATTGAGCCCTTCAAACTTTATCATTTGGTACAAATAACCCCATGAGTGAATTTATAAAGTGGTTTTCATTGTGAAATACTACTCAACAATTTGTTTTTGCCAAGTCAACATACTTGTTAGGGTACGTGATAATGAATACATAATGAGCATGCGCACCTTAAAAAATAACTGTTAGTAAGTAAAATTGAAGCATCATCTCTACAATTTTTGCTACTAGTTTTTTTTATTTCGTAGTGGTATAAGCATATTGCCATGATGGTAAAACCATAAAGTTAAAATGTCAACATGGTGAAACCATTGAATCAACGCACAGGAGGTTGAGTAAACTAAAAAGTTTAGATAAATGGTTTAATAGTTTATGGCTCGTTCGATTTGCGGGATTTTTAACACGTATGAATAAGGAAAAGCATAGGGATAGTATGAGAATACTTGGGCAAACCTAAGGATTGAAAAATATAGGAAACTTTGTGCCGCAAACAATTCAATGGATTAAAAACAACTTGTATTAAGTTGCATGCACCAGCCAGTTGCACCTAAAAGCCTAAGCTGATAGGGAAAGGCGGGCAATTCACTTTATACACTCCAACACTCTCCCTCATGTGAGACCCCCTCAAGTCTCAAGCGTGGAATATTGGAGTGGGCTGCAATTATTTTATTTAATTGCGTGCCAGCCAGGATTCGAACTCGAGACCTCTGGCTCTGATACCATATTAATTGCATGCACCAGCCAGTTACACTTAAAAACCTAAACTGATATGGAAAGGCGGGCAATTCACTTTATACACTCCAATAACTTGGACTGTTTTTTTCCTTCGTTTCTCCCCAAAAGTAGAGGGGTAGGAATATTTCCTTCGATGGATTCCTTTCAAACGAATCACAGTTTAGTGACCATTTGAAAGGATTACATATTATTGTACTTTTCCTTTACAATTCTTTTGAAAAGCCCTTAGGTGTTAGGCGGACTGAGGTAAAGTTCAGACTACACAGCTTGTGGCCTCTTGATAAGAGACCTAAGTCTTTCCATAACTAGTATCTCTAGTATACAAGTATGCAACAATAAGAAAAGATACTCCTAATAACTAAACTTTAAATAAACTTTTCTTTCAAATTACATCTCCGATCTATAATCTGATTATACCATTTAATTCGTTGTAATTAAATCTTTAAAATTAACAAGATCTTACACGATTATATTCTGACGAAAAAATATATATGTTGTAAATTACTTTTATTATATATGTAAGTTACTTTTATCATATATATAAATTACTTTTAGATTTGATTAAATTACTTTTTTACATTCAGTGAACAATTTACTTTATGGTTAATTCTATAATATGTTGATTAAATTTAATTTGGCAAAATTTGCCGTGGGACATCCAAAAAACGTGTAATTAGCTGGGAGACACCATAAAAACGCTTATTTGCTATAGGACACCACAAAAAACTGGTAATTAGCTGTTGGACACCCGCGAGATTATTTTATTATATCCGGAGAAATTGGAGAGAGAAACAGCTGTGTAAGTACGATTCTACCCTTTGAATTCTTTTTCTTTTTTTTCTCTATCCTTCTCTACTCCTCCTTATTATTCTCTCTCTCATTCTTTCTCTCTTTAGCCCGAGGGAGCGCCGGTGACCGGCGCGGGCCAGTGCGGACACCTCGGTTGGGGCGGCGTTGCGCGGGCACCTTGGTCCACCGGAACGTCGCCGAGTTGTAGATGAAGACGGTGGAGCGCTTCGCGTACGACAGCCTGAAACGCGACCGCGTGCTACGGAGGTCACCGGCACCGGCGCTGGAGTCGGGCCCCGTGAACATCCACATCACGGCGGTCAGCGGCGGCCCAATGAGCAGCCCATCGGCGCCGAACTGCGGCCCGCGCGTAATTGAACAGCGTCGCCCGCTCCCGCCCACCTTTGGCAGCACCACCACCGCCGTCGCTGCGGCGTCCGTGTCCGTGTCCGGCCAGTAGAAGAGGAAGGCGTCGAGCGTGTCGTAGTAGTCGTCCGTGCTTCGGTACCCCTGTAGGCTGAACCCACCGAACATGACCCCGCCGGTGGCAGCGGCGGTGGCCGTGCGGCCAATGACAGTGGAAGTCCGTCGCGCTGAAGCCGTCCACGTTGGCCTTGTAGTAGCATCTCAGCTCACGACCTGCACACGGAAATTAATAATTAACCAAGAATTACTTACTAATCAGTAATTGAGCAAGAATTAAATCATCATCAAGAAAAGATGATTTTGGTTTTGCCTCTGAGGTGGGTGTTGGCGACGAGGGACATGGGGAACGGCGGAGCGACGTCGTGGTACTGGAACTCCGGTGGCGGCGGCGCACTTCTGCCGCAGTTGAAGAGGCTGCGCGGGGTGACGAATCTCGCCCCCGGCCAGCAGCTGCAGGTCGGACTCGAACTTGGAGAAACCACCGTTTGGATTCCTTTGAGCCAAGGGCAAACTTGTCTTTAATGATTTTTTTCTCTCCCCAATTTCTCCAGATATAATAAAATAATCCCGCGGTGTCCAGCAGCTAATTACCAGTTTTTTGTGATGTCCTATAGCAAATAAGCATTTTTGCGGTGTCTCCCAGCTAATTACACGTTTTTTGGATGTCCCGTAGCAAATTTTGCCATTTAATTTCTAGACAAACTTATGTTTTTTCTCCTACAATAGATTTGCTTTTAATGACGTGACAAGTTAATTTCCTTTTAAGTTACTTCTATAATATATGTAAATTACTTTTAGAATTTATTGAATTTAATTTTTATATGTCTAAAAAGTAATCTAATGAAGTCTAAAAGTAATTTAGATATGTTATAAAAGTAATTTATAATTTTAAAAATAATATATAATTATGTGAGATCTTGTTATAATAGTTTAATTGTTACGAACACAACGGTGTAATTAAATCGTAGATCGGATGAGTAGTTTAAGAGAAAATTTTATTTAAAACATAGGTGGTAGGAATATTTCTCTACTTGCTTCATGGACTATTACTATAGTTAGATACCAGATAAGTGTTGAGGTGTCTCTCGTTAGCACTAAAATAAGAGGCCTCGTGATTTAGATTTTGTCATTTGAATTCTTTTTCCTAATATAATACATATAGATGTGATGAAAAATTTAAATAGGTAATTTTAAACAAAACTCAATACCTGGTATATCTTGTAGAGTTATAAGCCTGACACCAACTCTACCATGATCTTTTTTTTTCCTGTAATTCAAGTATAGGCGGGACTGTACTTTGAGTAACAATAATAACTTGACTGTATTTACTCATTTATCGTCAACACTCGTTTAATTTATAGATATGCATAGGTACGCATATATGATGGAAAATACAGAGAAACCTTGATTCTCTATATGGATGGAGCCACGGACGGGAGAACGCGCGTGAGTCAATCCACTATACTTCCCACGTTCGCTCCAAAGGATTTATATAGAAAAATAAGCATCCAAGGCATAAGCCAAACTCTAAACTTAATAATAATACTAGCTTACTTTGCCAGGGTGATATTAAAAAAACTCATTATCCCGAATGATTAGGTCGACTGATTAGTTTAAACATAGTTTGGCCCGTATATATGGACTAGCACACGAGAGTGTCATTGTTTCACAGCACTCTCTAGGAACTCTGACAGGCGAGAGCGGCCGGCCATATTTCAATTCGGCTGGGCATGCGTTGTACTGCATAGTAGGTGATTTCTCGTGCTTTGCTGTGGAAATTACTAAGGAATTCTCAATATATATTCTTTTACAATTAAACTAGGAGTAAAAAGAAAAAATAATAAAACATTAGGGTTTATTTATCAAATGATACATGTGTTTTAGTGTGAAACATATTGATATGTTAAATATTATAAAAGTGTGAGATAGATTTATTAAAATATTGTGCAAATGATATGAATGGTGATGATTGGATATGCATGCATTTTAATTTGTAGAATTAAATAAAGTGTAGATCATGTTGTATGCTTACATGAGATTAAATATGCTAGTGGGTGATGATGTGGCATGGTTGCATGTTGAGCTTTAGATTTAGTGGGCTTTAATTTTATAGAAATCATAGATTTGAAATACTACCTCCGTACGATATCATACAAATGACTTTTTTATATAATAGATGAAGAAATTCCATTATATTCCTAGACAAAGGTAGTAGTGACAACTATAACGTAAAGAGGATCTGAAGAAGCAAATTATGGTTCTCGATGTGCCTGACTACCACGGGTAGAACGTTGGTACCTTTTGTGCCCTCAAAAATTAATGAAAGGTCATGCTTCAAAAGAACTTTACATCTAACTAAACAAACAAAATCCAGTAACTCAATAGACACAGTCAACCAAACAACACGATTGTATCTCCCTATAGCGTAGAGCTAAATTTAGCTTGCTAAGACACAAGTTTTTACAGTTAGGATAAATACGTGCAGGCAAGGGTAAACCTACTTATTAGACAGGGTGGATCAACCGGCCTAGCTATCACCTGTATGATCCCATACCCTAGAACCCTTATAGTATCGGGCCATCCATATAGTCATCACCCATCAACCTATAAACAACCCAAATAAGACATATTAGGCGGTCAATCATTGTTTCATCTTCTAACTTGTGATCACATGCCCCTTCACCCTAAGCCTTTGACCATTCATCTTCATTGCCTCCCGCTCGAGGTTTATCCTCTTCATCACGTCGTTGACTATGTCAACCGCCGGTGCTACTCTACGTACCGTCGACGAGCCATGCGCAGTGGCCCTGAGGACGCGTCCGGCACTTTGCTAGTCTACCTTGCAGCTTGCAATGTGGTGTCCGACTATGGATGTCCCTAGCCAGTAGCCGGCTAGGGTTAGGTGATTTTAGAATTGTACTCCATTTTAAATGTTTGGATGTTCTTTTTTTGTCTTTACTTATTGATTGTGCTATTTTTTATGTGATTAAAATATAAATAAGGTACGATACATGATACGTTATCTTTTCCTGAGCATCCTGCTCCATCTTTATTTTAGAGTCGCATCCGTCGAGGTATATAGATAATCAAATATACATCCCAAGTTAGTATAGAAAAGAACATACGTTATAAGGCTGTGTTCGGTTTGGAGAGTTGGAAACTCTCCCCCTACACGTAAAATAGAGCGATCCATTATTGCATGATTAATTAAGTATTATTTTTTAGAAAAACAAAAGATCAATATGATTTTCATAAAGCAACTCTCGTATATAAATCTTTTACAAAAGTCATACCATTTAAGCAGTTTGGGAGACGGGCGCATTTGATTCGAAAAAGATAAATCGGGAAAGCTACTAATAATCAGTTAAAAACGAGTAATTAAATTAATAATAATTTACCTCTACCTACCTGGTAGAACCGAAAATTCTCCGCCGAAAGCAGAGTCCGTAGTTCTTAAAAAAAAAAAGAAAAAGCAGAGTCCGTGAAGCATTTACGCGTGGTCTCTGAAGTATATAACGGTCTGTCAAATGTGCACTGCAAGTCTGCAACACGTCTGCGCGTTGCGCACCGAGCATGAATACCAAAATAAGCATGCCAGCATCAGCATATATCCCGTGCATACCCATATACGTGGCACCATCTGACGCCGCCAGCTCACCCTGACACGCACGCCACGTGCGCCACCGCCGTCCCCGAGGCGCCCCCCTCCCCCCCCCCCCCCCCCCCCCCCCCCCGGCCCCCGGCCTCGCGCCAAAATCCCCCGTCACGCCGCTTCACCGCAGCGATACACGCAGCAGAGAGAACAGAGAGGGGAATGCGAGGATGGCGTGGTGGTGGTGGTGGTCGGAGGCGGTGGTGGTGGGCGGAGGGACGGGCGGCGGGAGCAGCGGCACGGTGGTGTCCATCTGCGTGTTCACGGCGGTGCTGTGCGTGTGCCTCGTCGCCGGCCACCTCCTCGAGGAGAACAAGTGGGTCAACGAGTCCATCACCGCCCTCCTCATCGTACGTCCTAGTACCTCATCACCCCTCCTGATAATTACCCCCAACCACACGTACACAACACATGCATATATATATATATGCATATTGCATAACCTGTCTACGACTCCCTCATCAAGCAATTAATTAAGCCGTTCGAGCTCTCTCTTTTGATCATTCATAACCTCAACTCAACCGCGCCGTACGCGCGCGTTGCTAGCTGTTTGTTCCACAGATACTCTCTATCCTAAAAGAAACCAACATAGGTGAGGATGATATGACCATATCCAGATTCATTGTATAAAGCTAGCTACATCGTATTTTCATCTAGGTTGGTCTTTTGCCAACTTCGCGTGGCGATTCACAGATACGATTCAATAATTGTGGTTTCTTTATCTTGTAGTGTTGGTATTCATTAGTGTGTGTTTGCTTAATGTATGGTTAGAGTGTGGTTGTGAACTCGCTCTTCTGAGAACATTTTTGGGCGTTTTTGGGTGATTTTTTGTAATAATTGGCTATACCTCTTTCAATAAAAGCCGGAATGATATTACATTATCTAAAAAAAATTAGGATGGATTGAGCGGTCCGTTGTCGCATGTTCAGACTTCGGAACGACTTTTCTTTTTCTGGGGATTCTACTTGATTTTCCAGCTAGCTAAATGTGCTTCACTGAAACTGCAGTTTTGTTTAACTAATGTTTAATTAATACGATATATTTCTAAGAACTTGGTAGCACATCAGAGGTGACAAAAAAAGTGGAGTGCTCTTCCTTAATTAAGAAAACAAACAGTATTTACTCCAAGGACTGCTGGTGAGAACATTTATTCAGTGCCTTCCTTTTTATTATGCTTGCAAAGGTATCAACAGCTACTACTACTGGTACTATTTATAATTTGCGCAGGACCAGTTCCAATTATTTTAGTACTATTTCATTCAATTCCTAGTAGCTTATTAGCTCCTGTTACATTCCAATGATGGTACGATTAAGGACTCCAGTTATTAAAAAGTGTGTGTGGAATACTCTTGCAGGGTTGTGTTGTAGGTGCTATCATATTTCTGTTGAGTGAAGGCAAGAACTCGCGAATCCTGAGGTTCGACGAGCAGCTCTTCTTCATCTATGTACTTCCTCCCATAATCTTCAATGCAGGGTATGTGTGCGAGTATGACATAGTACTAGAAATCAAATTCTTGCTTTTGGGTTTACAGGTAGTCAACACTCAACAAGAGATAGTTCTTTCAGATTTCTCCCATTGAGTGTTCATGCATGCATGACATATTGACATTACTTTTGCCTTTTCAGCTTCCAGGTCAAGAAGAAGCAGTTCTTTCACAATTTTCTCACCATAATGTCCTTTGGGATATTCGGCGTGTTCATCTCAGTTGCGATAGTTTCAACAGGTAGTTTGTTAATTTATAAACCTTTATGCATGTACACACTGCTAAAAATAACCATTTTTTTATCTTTAAGATATGTCAACTGTAATTTTGAGTCTAACTGCCTAAATAATTTTATTTCACCATTTGTCAATTTTATTTGTAAATGATGGAATACTTTCAATTAAAAAGAAATAATGATGGGATACTTCTTGATACCAGGTTGCTACTGGCTCTTCCCAAAAGTTGGTTTTGGGGACCTTGGCGCGGTAGATTATCTAGGTGTGTCTTTATGTTTTGCAATTTGTTTACGTTCTCCTTTTTACTTCAGATCTAATCTTATTTACAACTACAGCTTTGGGAGCAATATTTTCCTCAACAGATACTGTCTGCACATTGCAGGTTCGTTATACAGTTGTGTTACAAATTTTGAATACATTTTGTTTATTCTAACTTAGCTGTTGCAAATAAAATCATCCGATCTCAAATTCAGGTCATCAGCCAGGATGAGACACCTAGATTGTACAGTTTGGTGTTTGGGGAAGGAGTGGTCAATGATGCAACCTCAGTTGTGCTTTTCAACGCTATAAAGAATCTGGATATCACTCAGCTCAAAGGCGGGGTTGCGCTAAAAGTCATTTCAGATTTTCTCTACCTGTTCTTCACTAGCACTATGCTTGGAGTTACAGTAAGCAAACATCTTTCAGATATCAGGTTTTTCAGTATAACAATGCTGTTACTCTGTTTTTCTCAGAATTAAGGTGACCAATAACTTTTATTACTTCTGTTTTACTACTAATTATCAGATTGGGCTATCAACTGCTTATGCTCTCAAAGCTCTGTATTTTGGTAGGTAAGTATAGCAAGCCATTGGATCATGATCCAACTTTGAAGTCATCTTGTTGCACTGTTTAAATTTGAATATCTCCTCTTATTTCTGTAGGCACTCCACTGATAGGGAAGTAGCTTTGATGGCTCTCATGGCTTATTTGTCATATATGCTGGCAGAGGTAAGGGTGCCTTGAGATAATTGTTGGCATTTTAACATTTGCTCTGATAATGTGCCTGAAGGGTAAGGTGTGTACTATCTTTTTGAGCAGTTTCTTGATCTGAGTGGGATTTTGATGGTGTTCTTTTGTGGAATTGTTATGTCCCATTACGCATGGCATAATGTGACGGAAAGCTCAAGAATCACAACCAGGTATTATGAAGTCAGTACCACATTTGTGAAAGACTAGTATTAATTTTTAGAGAAATTTATAGCTGTGTTAAGCATTATATTTGAGCAATTTTACGGTCGTTGAGAAGGTACTATGAGGTACCAAAAATTTAGTGTAAAATTTGTTACCTCATAGTACCTAGGTTGTAAATTAAGATTATGAAGTAAATTAAATGACTCATTTGGTGTAATGGATGCAATCATAGGCACATATTTGCAACGCTGTCATTTATCGCCGAGACATTCATCTTTCTTTATGTTGGAATGGATGCACTTGACATTGATAAGTGGAAAACATCAGAGACAAGGTAATCACCGAAATGCACATTTGTTACAAAATGGAAGGAGTAAACATCATATTATCATTTTGGCAGCTTTAAAACATCACTCGGTATCTTTGGAATCATCATATCGCTCGTTTTATTGGGAAGAGCTGCATTCGTTTTCCCTCTATCCATTATGTCAAATTACATGAGTGGGAGTTCTGAAAAAGCGCCAATCACATTCAATCACCAGGTTTCTTCTCAGCCGTTGGTTTCAATTTCATACAGTAACTCTTGAATTGACTTGTAGGGAATTCACAACGAATTAAAATATGTACTCTAAATTCCTCAAACATTCAAGGTAGTGATTTGGTGGGCGGGCCTCATGAGAGGAGCTGTTTCGATCGCACTAGCATATAATCAGGTACGATTCATATTCAGTGTCAGGATATACATATCTGACAAGAAGTTGATATACATTGATTTGTCAAACTTGCATGCTTTCAGTTCACCTTTTCAGGTGTAACTTTGGATCCAGTTCATGCAACCATCATCACCAGTACAATCATTGTAGTATTTTTCACCACTCTGGTATAAACCTTTAACACTGACGGCTCTGCATATGATGTAATCTAATCCATAAAATGTTCAGACATGAGGCATCTGAGACATCTCCATAATTTCATCAGGTGTTTGGCTTCTTGACAAGGCCACTCATAAGTGCCATACTCCCGCATCAACACCGGCAATCAACGACACCGGGGACCGGAGGAGGAGGCCGTAGCACGGGCAGCAACTCCCCGAAGGACGACTTCATCATGCCGTTCCTCTCGCCTGATGAAGAGGCGTCAGGGAGCGGCAGTGGGTTCCTCCAGGCCAAGAGGAGCATCTCCATGCTCCTGGAGAGGCCAGTCCACACGGTGCACATCTACTGGAGGAAGTTCGACGACAGGTTCATGAGGCCCATCTTCGGTGGACCGATGGAGCGCGATCGCGGTAACTGTTACTGATCGAGCAGAAATAGTTGGCACATTGCCACTGGAGGTGGAAGATCAAGTGCAGGAAGAATGGGTGTTTTGTTCATGTTCAGTTCTTCAATAGCTCCAGTGAGCATATATACCTAAGAGATTCTACTGATAAGACCTGTGAGACAATCTCTGAAAATCTGAAATTCTGAATTCTTCTGTCGTTTAAGCTTTGTTACCGTAAGTGTAAAAATGGTATGGTTGGAACAATTTCAAGCAATTTCAGGCCACTCTTTATCCTGATACTTAACATCAGCTAATATCGCAGTTCCAGAGTGAACTGATGGAAGTAGAAGTGGAAGAACCAGACAAAGTGCGTTTTGTTGTGGGTTGAAAAATACTAGTACAAATGCTCCAGCCGTCGTGATCACTTGAGCTGTATTCCTTGAATTACTCTCTGATTTGAGCGGTTGTTTCACACCATACTTATTCCCAAAGACGAGCTGCAGCAAGTGATCATAGCCGGCAAGCAAGGGTCTCTGCCTGACGGTAGTCTCCCAAAATCTCTATTTTCCTTAAACAGTGCAGATTGTTATTCATGTAAAATCAAAAGTGTTTTTAATTATTATTCTGTGATGAACAATTGGCATCGGAGATTATTAGTTCTGTTATTTCGAATTTATTTGCGAAGTGGTTTTGGAGATGATTGGTTTTCACAGGTAATCTACAGATACTGTTGTCTGTTGGACCGGTCAGACCGGGCAGGTGTTGCCGGTCAGACCGGCGTGTATCGCGTGGTCAGACCGGCGCAGCTCGCGGTCTGATCGGTTGACTCTGTGTCGGTTTCGGTTTCGGATTGTTTGTTTGGATATCCGTGATTGTTCATGATTATGGCTTCTAGATGGATACTATGCGTATGTAATACTGTTGTTTGCTACTAATGAGTCAAGTTAGGGATAGCTTAGTCTCGGAATATGGTTTCTTTGTTTGTTTTATGTGTAGGTGACTCGAGATGCCGGGAGAGTATTTGCGGTGATGGACTGGGAGTCGGCTTGGGGATAAGACGACGTCCGTGGTGGTCAGAGATCATGCGGGATACTAAGGCCAGAGTTCAATACACGTGGTTGGTGAAGATTCCATATGGCATACGATGGAGGTATTGTGTGCGTATGGGATGCAGAGTCGAATTTGGAAGGAGTCCAAATTTGGTATGAATGGTTATGTAAAGTTTGTTTCTTGTACTAGATGGTTTCCTAGGGGGATTAGGACTTCTAGTATGAGTTTGGTTCGTGGCTTTAGGCTGCCTACCTTGGGTATAAATAGAGAGGGAGCGTGAGGCTTCCCGGTATCGCTTTTGAGAGCAATTGAGTTGATGGTTGAGTTAAGGTTTCGAGTTTAGTCGAGATTTTTGTAAGGAGTATTGTTGGTGCACTTTGTAAACACATAGAGAATCAGTAAAGTCGTCATCCACTTTAAGAGTTCTTCGATTTGTGTTTTACCGGGTTTCGGCGGTCTAACCGGAGACACACTGGCAGTCAGACCGGCGGCATCGCAACAATCAGACCGGCGGCGTAAGGGCGGTCAGACCGTCGGCGGCGACAGGCGCAGGCAGGCGATTTCGGTGGTTCGACCGATCGATCTACAACGATCAGACCGACGTGTTCCAGGCGGTCAGACCGGCGTAGCTACTTCGGTCAGACCGCGATCCGTCGAATTTGAGGGTAACTTTTATTTTCGCTAAAAGTTTTGGTTTTTGGCATACCAAGCATTCACCTCCCCCTCTGGTTGGCTTAGTTGTTGTGTTTCGATCCTACAATTCAGATTATAAAACTAGATTGTTATTCAGATTATAAAATTAAATTCGGTGGTAGTAGCTAACTAGAAGCTAGAAACTTTCTAAAACAGATCTTTTTTTAGAACAAACTGAGGCTACAGCCTCAGATTAGAAATTTATTAAGCAAGTTGAGAGTACAGCAAGTCTTACAGGGAGACCCCTGACAGATGGCCAAATTACATTTTAACCCTGAAATATGCAAGGAAGGACCTAGAAAGAAACAGAAAAAGCAATCGGGTCCTTCTCTTTGCCATGTCCACAACAACGAAGGCCAGATCGACGCATTGAACGACGACAGGAGCTGATAATCCATGGCTAGCTGCATATAATGATGCCTGGATGTGAACCCAAAAGGGGCCTCTCTATGGAGGTTGAAGCATCTAAGGCAAACGGAGAAACACATCAGCCGCACCTTGTAAAGCTAACGCCAAAGACGAGTAAGAAGACCAACATAGATGCAGAAAGCTCGCCGGAGAAGAAGCAAGTGGCCAGCGCTACCTTCTTTTGGGCAAACCCATCGTGCTCTTAGCTTCGGGCGTTAATGGTGAACCTGGAAAATGATTGATAGGGAATCTTCACCGGAGAAAAAGCCGACGAGGACATCCATGGCAGAAGCAACCAAGACGAAGGAGCCGGACGCCGACGACCCCTTCGAGCTGTACAAAAAGGGATTAACCCAACAACGGGAGATACCCGAGAAGTCTAAACCTAAGCTTACTAGTGAAGGAAGGAACTAGACCCCCTCCCACCCCCCCCCCCCTACCCCCTTGCCGACGGCTGGGAAGCCGCCGGGGATGGAAGGGAAGGGGCCGGAAAGGAGGGGATAATTTTTTCGCCTGAGAAGTTCCTCGAGACTTTGAGAGACGAAGGAAGCTCCTAAAACAGTTCAGATTCTCACCCAAATTCTAATAATTAGTAGTTAGTAACTATGGAATCTAGAATGTGAAAGTTTCTAGATTCTAGTTCAAATTCTTGATATCGACGATCGAACCAACAACACCAGGATCCGGTAGGGGTGGCAAGGGGATCAGAGACGGAGGCATCACGGACAACTGGAGCCAAAGCCGATCGACGTAGTCCCTGCCTGATTGCTACTCCATTGAGGTTGAGCGGATCCGGCAACTTCCACTGCCCCGGCCAACTCCACCGGCTCAACTGCTCCCTCAACCGTCCCCCACTTTCATCTCTGTTGAATAGTAGAGGAGGAGAATACTGCGTGTAACCGGATGATTGTATTGAGTTTCAGAGGCGGTGTATATAGAGAGTACAAGAGATAAGGAAGAGGATCTACAGATAATTAAGAAAAGACTCTAAACAAATCAATCCTATCATAATAATCATCTAACTACCATATACTCTAACATTCCCCCATAGTCCAAGAGTGAGCAGAGCGGACGCTTGGTCTAAAGAAGACACCGATAAAAGAACTCAACAATGATAGCCCTTTGTGTCGTTATTGAGGTAGCCAAAGCATGGGACACGATGGTGATCAAGGTAATCGTACGTAGAGTAGCCATGGTCGATGTAGCCGAAGTCACGGTACTAGTGTCGAGGTAGCCAAGCCACATGGCGTGCAAGGGGCGGCAAGGAGTGGTCATGGACGCACTGAAGGGCATCATGGACCGAGGTGCACAGCGATACGCTGAAGACGAAGATGGTGACGCAATCGTGGCAGTCGTTGGAGAAGATGGCATCGAATAGCTGATGTTGTCGAATCGTGGAGGACGAGACATCACACCGGGTTTGTCAAGCTTGAGGACGACTTGGGACGAATGTGCGTAGTGATGTTACCAATACCTCACAAGGCGAAGGTAAACGAAGACGAGGCAGCGGGACCAACGGCCTGGAACGATGACATCAGTAACCCACGCAGGGTCGGCTGGACCACTGGCCTGGGGCAGCAATAGTGATAGCTTGGAGATGTGGTGGTGATGCTCGAAGTAGACGAAGAAGACCTTGACGGTTGATGACGACAAGTGCAGATGACGAGGGTGTCGATGCACGAACGGCGATGAAAACAACGAGAGCGGTGATGTTGCGGCCCGAGGAAGGCGACACAATGGCAACTCCAAGCCAATGCAGCGGCAAGTGACCATGAGCAACGACATTGTGGTCCAGGGGAAATGACAGAGTGGCAATCCAAAGTTTGGAGTGGTAGACATGCTCCATCCCATAAAGGCTTGTCGCAGACGGGCGCTCGATCGAGTGATCAGGCCAATCGTGCGTAGTGTGACGCAACAGTGAATGATGTTGCGTAGATCGGAGTCGAGGACAACGATGTTTGGGAAGATCGGAGCAGTGTAGATGACGACGAACGACGATGGGCGATGCAAACCTGTTCTCTAATGGGAAAAAAATACAATCAGCAACAGTACGTAGCAGTCTTGATCCCGATTCTCCACGGGAATGAACAGCAGTGACCAAGTCAACAACTAGCTTGTAGCACCCATCTCATCTCTGTCTACTCCCTTGCATGTTTGAGGATGCTGTTTTTAGTTCTGGTTTTCTCAACAAACAAAGTTTTCATGAAGTATTGCGATACAAATGACATCTATGGTATGCTATCGTTTAAATGTTAGTTTTGAACTGTAGAGTAGAATAACTTAAAATCATAGCTGGAAGGGGTTTATTCCGATGAAGGGATGGGAAAAATCTATGTGCTTTTGAGAAGGCATCGAGTTCTCTTCTCCTAGCTGAATTCTTTTCTTTCATCCAGAGGGGTTTTGGCTACTAGTTTGAAATCCTGTTTACGCTCACTTAACGGTGAGTACACATGTTTCTTTTGCCTACTTAATCCTTTTTTTAACTCTTTTTTTATGTAAATCATGACCAGGGCTTTGCCCAGTATTTATACATTAAAATAAAAAGAGTTATTTACAAAGGGAGGGAGGAGAGAGAGGGCGGAGGGGGCGGCGGCTGAGGGCGGCAGAGGACGGCAGGAAGCACTGCAACCGCGAGCTCGCCAACGCGCAGCTCCGCACCGAGGCTGAGGATGGCACGCCGCCCGTGGCCGTGCAGGCCTCGTCCGCCTCACCAACGCGCACGTCCGCGCCGAGGCCGCCGCCCTCAGCCGCCGCCCCCGCCGCCTCCGCCTCCACATCGTCGTCCGCCGCCGCCGTAGCTCCGCGCCGAGGCTGCCGCCCTCAGCCACCGCCCTCAGCCGCCGCCTCCGCGTCACCGTCCGACGTCGCCGCAGCTCCGTGCCGAGGCTGCCGCCCTCAGCCACCGCCCTCAGCCGCCGCCTCCGCGTCACCGTCCGACGTCGCCGCAGCTCCGCGCCGAGGCCGCCGCCCCCGCCTGCCGATGACCATGAGAGAGAGAGGGGAAGAGTGAGAGATAGAGGAAGGGTGTATGACAGGTGGGTCCCACAATTTTATATATATATATATATATATATATATATATATATAATGCTGACTGGACTGCCACGCGTACGCCACGTAGACCAAAACCACCGCGGATTGGATCGAGGGGGGTAATTCGTCCGGTTTGTATAGTTGGGGTGAAGAATGTCCGGTTTTATGGTTCAGAGGGGTAATTCGGACGACCGCGATAGTTTAGGAGGGTAATTTGTACTTTTTCCTAACTTAAAATCATAGCTGGAAGGGGTTTATTCCGATGAAGGGATGGGAAAAATCTATGTGCTTTTGAGAAGGCATCGAGTTCTCTTCTCCTAGCTGAATTCTTTTCTTTCATCTAGAGGGGTTTTGGCTACTAGTTTGAAATCCTGTTTGTGCTCACTTAACGGTGAGTACACATGTTTCTTTTGCCTACTTAATCCTTTTTTAACTTTTTTTATGTAAATCATGACCAGGGCTTTGCCCAGTATTTATATATTAAAATAAAAAAGAGTTATTTACAAAGGAAAAAAGAAAAAAAAACAAAAAACCCCTTGAAAATTACAAGCCTTGAAACCAGCTAATTAAGAATGGATGAGCTAAGAGATACTTTTTTTTTAATTCTTACTTTAGGGCCCCTTTAAATCGCAGGATTAAGAAAACGTAGGAATAGGAAAAACGTAGGATTTTGATAGGAATGTAAGCGTAAAACGGAGGACTGCAAAACGCAGCAAAAACACATGAATGGCCGTTTGATTGAACCATAGGAAAAACACATGAATTGGATGAGAGAGAGACTCAAAAGAAAGTTACCAAGAGGTTGAAGCTCATGCTAAAATTTCCTCTAAAATCTCTATAGGATTGTCTATTCCATAGAAATTTCAAATGATTGGATAAGATTTAATATTTTGTTTCAAAGGGCTTTATAGGAAATTTTCCTATAGGATTGAAATCCTCCAAAATTCCTATGTTTTCTTGCACGATCAAATTAAATTAACAACAATGTTTATGCTTTTAAGATTAACCAATTATGTGTCCTGAGCTCACTGCTATATGTCTTAACCCTTTTCACCATCATTGTGGATATGTTGTTTATTTCTAGCTTCACCAGAAATCCATATATGGAATCCAATGTCGTTTACTTTGACTCTTGAAAAAGTATATGTCACTCCAATTTCAGATAATGCAGTTTCCCTAATTTGAGATGGGTTCCCTTTTTCAATCTAAAAGTGGATTAGAGTTTCCGTTCTTTCCTTGGGTGGAAGTCCATGTAAGACATTGATGGATGCCAATTCAATTGTAGGTCTATAATCTATGTATATTTTAACTATCTGGTCTTTTAAGATTAATATTGTGATCAATGAAAAATATAAAGGTGGTTTTAATAACCTTCTGATCCAATGCACATCAAAACAATTTTTATTGGCTTATGTGCATATTTAACAAGTATCTCCCACTTAAGCGGTCAAATGACTTTCTAGATTTGACACTTAAAATTGCTAATAACGGAATAGCAAAGATGTAGGACTATTTAAACTAATCCTATATAAGCAGGAAAACAATTTGAACATGTTAACTGAATTTTACTCAATAAAGTCCGTACTTGATATTCATAGTTTCACTTAACGCTTCCAGCCTTTTCACACTTGTCATCACATTTTTTACTTCAATTAAGGCAACTACTTCCTCCGATTCATATTATAAGACTTTATATAGCATTGCCCACATTCATATATATGTTAATGAATTTAGACATATATGTGTGCCTAGATTTATTAGCATCTATATAAATGTGGACAATGCTATAAAGTTTTATAACCTGAAACAGAAGTAGTATATGTTTAGGATTATTCTAAAATATTATTGTGAGACGATCTTCTGGAAGTGAACGAGATTATAAACTTCCATGGTTTGTAGACCATATAAACTTCTATGTATCAGATGACAGGAGATATAAATTCATTGCTGACCATGTAAATGCTTCTCTCTCCATCCCAAAATATTTAACGCCGTTGACTTTTTTAAAAATGTCATCCCAAAATATTTGACGCCGTTGACTTTTTTAAAAATGTTTGACCGTTCGTCTTATTCAAAAAATTTAAGTAATTATTAATTTTTTTCCTATCATTTGATTTATTGTGAAATATACTTTTATGTATACATATAGTTTTACATATTTTACAAAAGTTTTTTTTGAATAAGACGAACGGTCAAACATGTTTAAAAAAGTCAATGGCGTCAAACATTTAGGGAAGGAGGGAGTATTTTAATTGCAGATCAAAGGGACATATCTAATTAATTGTGCGTGAAGGAAAGCTATTATGTAATATTGATGTCTTGCATTCAGCTTTTCAAATATTTATCAAGATATGACAAAACTATATATTTGGTGCCGTTGGCTGTTTTGCTTATTCAAAGCAAGTGTGTAAAAGGGAGTTGTAAAGATAAGATTACGTCATATTGGATATAACGTGCTTTGTGATATACATTATGGGAAAATTGGTACAGTAATTTTTTTAAGCGTGTTTCATATAATTTGGAAAACGTCCATTACACATGAATGATTACTAAGTAGAATTTAAAAGTTAGAGTAGATGGAAAACTCATCTTTTCCATATTGTCACAAACTACAAACCAACCTACTAGCTAGGTTTCAAAACAGAATCTCATAGATCATTTAAAACCTAGGAATTTCAAAGGTTCTTTTTTACGTAAATTGGTTGAAGTCTTCAAAATCTCAACGAAAATTCCTCCGTTCCAAAAGAAGCTCAAGAGGAAAACTTCTAAAACTGAAGAGATAAAAGTAATCATCAACTACAATTCAACTTTAAAAGCTAATCTGTACAACTTCAATGAAAATGATTGGTAATCAATCAATTATTATCATATACTCGCACTGTCTTTTTAATAGATTAAGTCATTAACTTCTGAATTAACCATTTATCTTATTAAAAAATTATACAAATACATAAGATATAAATTATATTTAAAATACTTTTAGTAATAAAGCAAGCCCACGATAAAGTAAATAATAACTACTTCCTCCATTTCATATTATAAGACTTTCTAGTATTGTTAATATTCATATAAATGTTAATGAATGTAGACATATATGTGTATAGATTCATTAATATATATATATATATGAATGTGGGCAATGTTAGAAAGTTTTATAATATAAAACGGAAAAAGTATATAAAATTTTCAAATAAAATAAAGTAGTAACAACACCATCTATTAAAAACATTTTCAATAGAGTAAAAGAGAGAGCAAACTTTTGGGTGGACAGGGTGACCATGCAAATGCAGTGGAGTGTAGCCTACTCCGACATAACGGGGGATACGTGGACGAGCGCGCATCCGCGACGTGGACGCGCCAGGAGAAGATCCCTCCACACGGATCTCCTCCTGTCCACCAGCGCCATCGCCGCCAACCCCCACCAGGAGATTCCTCCCCTCGACTCGACTCGACTCGATTCCGCCCACTTGTATATCTCCCGCGCGCCACCACCACCATCGCGCCATCGCGTCCATGGAGATGGTGGAGTGCTCGCTGCCCGCCGCCCGGGCCCCGCGCCCACTGCCCCGCCGCCTCCCGCCGCTCCCCGGCGGCAGGCCGGCTCTTGGCGCCGCCGGGAGGAGCGGCAGCCGGCTCCGGGTGCGGTCGGAGCGGACGAGGAGGAGGGACAGCCCGACGATGCCGACGGCTGCGTCGGAGCGCGACGGCGGCGGCCGTGCCGCGCTGGGCAAGGCGGCAGCGGGGCTCGCCGCGGCGGCCGTGGTGTCGCTGACCGGGCTCGCCGCGGAGCCCCTCTCGCCGCCGCCGCCGGCGCGGGCCGAGTCGCTCACCGTCGCGTTCCCTGTCTCCAAGGCCCGCGAGGTGGGTGGGTCCCGACTCCCGGGGCCGCGGCCGCCGTGTTGTTCATGGTGATTTTGTTTTTTTCTCTTCCACCTCGTATGAATCTCTCTTCCTGTTCTTCGCAGGTGAACCGGGTGCAGAGGACGCTGGTGGAGGCGTGGGGGCTGATCCGTGAGACCTTCGTGGATCCCACCTTCAATCACCAAGGTACACACAATCTGGGACGAGTTGTTTTGAATCCATTCATAAAATTCTAATTTGGGGGGAAATGATTTTGAAATGCAGTGAAATTTGCTAACTTACTTACCCCTCAATATGTGAGATTATGCAGATTGGGACATGAGACTGCAGCAGACCATGGTGGAGATGTTCCCGCTGAAATCGGAGGATGCCGCCTATGGTAAGATCAGCGGGATGCTGTCCACACTCGGCGATCCGTTCACCAAGATCATCAGCCCCAAGGTGTGTGTATGCCTGAGGATTGTGTCATTCTGCCGGGATGGCGCATACGAACCCAATCTGCGTGTGCGCTGATGTATACTTGGTGAGAGCTGTTGCAGGAATATCAGAGTTTCAGGATTGGAAGCGATGGGAGTGTCCAAGGGGTTGGGGTGTTCATAAACAAGGAGCCTAGCTCTGGACGCTTGGTAAGTTAGAAATTCGCTGTCAAATAGGCAATCATATAAGGTAGTGTCACTATTGTTTATATAGCTCCATGACTCTTCCAGCTTGTTATGGACTGCATTGAAGGTGGCCCAGCAGATCGAGCAGGCCTGCATGGAGGCGATGAACTAGTTGAGATCGATGGTATTTTACTCGTTTTCTGTTGTAATATTATGTCTTTGTGAAATATACGGTGCAAACGTTACGGTCTTCTTATGAATTCAACTTTATCTAAAGCACACCTGTAGTGTAACCTTTTGTTTTACCTGTTTGCTGCACAACAATTTTCAGCATTAGTGCATTTGTCCCCAACAGAAGTTCTTTGGGGGCTACCGCACGAATTTAAGAGCTTTTCTGCGGTCCTTGAATGATACTGCACCTTTTAGTTTTCTTTTGTACTTCTTTAATACTAGGAAAAGCGATGGCTCTTCGAAAATTGAGAAGGAACTTCAAAATTTAAAGGTCATGAAAAGCTAGTCAGCTAGACTTCAAGGTTTTTTTCTATTCCCTTTGTATCAGCCAACGTTTCTGAAGCTAACAGAGGTGTGATATGGACATTGGACAAGCCATATGATCCAAATGTGTGCTTCATAAAATTTGAAGCCACAACCAAGAATCTGTTTAAAAATTATCACAAGCAAGTTCCCCTTATTCTATCATAACTGATAGTGTGTAAACTTTGCATCATTGAATCTTCATGAGCTCTTCTTCCGTCTTTGGAAAATGAAGTCATTGAGGAATCAGATTTCATGCCCAAGAGGCATTGATCATCGTATGTTCTGTTTGTGTAGGGAAGAGTGTTTCTGGGTTGGATGGAGAAGCTGCAGCTCAGAGACTTAGAGGTCGTGTTGGAACAACTGTGAAAGTGAAAGTGTTGGATGTATGCACTCATCCTCTGCTTCAATTTGAAGTATTATTTAGAGTTTTTGACATATTACAATTACAACCCCGTGATTTTATTTTGTCATTCAAAAGAAAACATGTTCATATCCTTTTATTGTATTTTCTTTTCTAACTGACACCACAATATCTCCAGGGCACTGAAAACGAAAGGAATGGTAGGATAAGACAAAAGGAGGTACAATTTTTCTCTGAATAACATGCAATGCCAACCTTTTCCCTCTATGCTGCTTGGAGAGTAATGTCTAACTTATGTCTGTCTGATTTGAATAAGCTTGTTACATTCGGTTAAATGCCTAAAAAGCATAATGGTTCACATTAACCAGAAGGAGAATTGTTGTCCTCTTAAGAATATGATCTTCTTTGTATCTAATGACAACTACAACTTTTCTTTTCAAAAGGTCCAGCTATCTCGTGAGGTTATCAATCTTTCACCTCTATCAACAGCAATTATCTCTCATAGGTCGGACGATGGCCGTGAGTGCAAAACTGGGTATGTTAGGCTAGCTGCATTCTCTCAGGTAAATACCAGTATTTTATATGTTTTGGTTCTCAATTTTGCAGGCGAGTTTCATGGTACTAAGAAAAGTTGGAATAATTGATCTCAGTAACAAACTGTGTTATTCAATATTGCTTTCTGTACGAATTGATTAAATTGAATGTTTACAAGTATTTTGAGGATTCCAGCATTCAGTAATACTGAAAATGGAAGAATATTCTAAGTGAAGATATTTCCTGTTCAATATTGTTTTTACCAAAGGATCGGCCATCTAAATAATTTGATCGTTTACCATGTGTCCATATACAACTGCAATATACTGCTAAAACCACCAAGAGCACAAAGCAATAATATTTCAACTTCAGATTTCAAGGTAGGATTGAAAAAACTGCCTAATTTTCCCTCGAATAAATTTGCCTACTTGCTTTTTCTTGTTTCAAAGAAGGTGAAAAATTATCGATATAACACGTATGAGTTATTTTGGTTCTTCATATCATTCTCCTTTCTCCTTTCAAACCAGACTGCTGCAGCTGAAATGGAAAGTGCCATTAAGAAGATGGAGGATGAGGGTGTCCAGTCATATATTTTAGATCTGCGAAATAATCCTGTCAGTGTACTTTTCTGACAATTGGTCTGTATAACTTCAACAAAAAAAATATTTTCTTGTAGTGATCTTGTTATTTTGCTACAGGGTGGTCTAGTAAAAGCAGGTCTTGACGTGGCTCAAATGTGGTTGGATGGAAATGAAACTCTTGTCAACACTGTTGACCGTGAGGGAAATGTCCTACCAATAAATATGGCCCGGGGCCATTCTTTAACACATGATCCCCTTGTCGTACTTGTGAGTCTCAACTCTACATCTACTATGTGCTTGATTTTGATTCTTTATAGGTACAATTTTTCCTAGACAATCATAATTATGTTGTATGCACATATAGGTCAATGAAGGAAGTGCAAGTGCAAGTGAAATCTTGGCAGGAGCATTACATGACAATGGTCGTGCTATTTTGGTCGGCCACAGAACTTTTGGAAAAGGAAAAATACAGGCATGGACAATTTCTCTATACGCACATTCTGCTTTTTGGTGTAAAATGCTTGACTTTTTGCATGCTTCTGAAATATTTAAATTAGTACTAAATATGATCCCCAATATTCCCTGGAACAGAGTGTGACTGAATTGGATGATGGATCTGCTCTGTTTATCACGGTCGCAAAATATCTCTCTCCAGCACTGCATGAAATCGACCAAGTAGGCATCCAACCTGACATACAATGCACCCCTGAAATGTTATCTTTGCCAAGAGCACCTTCGCTAAAAGAGGACGACAAAGCCACAAATCTGGAGATGGATTCATGTATCATGGTGGCAGAGCAAGCATTGGAAATTGAGAAATCAAAGGGATCTGCTTCGTAGGTACTTCTGTAAGCCAGAATCCTTTGTATGTCCACATTTAGTTGGTCAGGTTCATAGTGGCATCTGCAGATGAAATTCAGCATAGCTCCATGTATAATATTGTAATCTACCGTAGGTTGTATAGTTAGTATAGGCTGTAATGATAATATATATAGGCTGATAACTGTGATGTTAGATTGTAGGCAAAGAAGCACCAGAAATTAGTTATCTCGTCTTCAGGGGCCAAATGCCCTTGTCATTGATTCGAGATGTGTCAATAGGAATTTGTAATTGTCACTTGTTAATCATTGCATATTGTCTACCAATGCCAGTACAACATATTGCTTCAACAGTTAATTGTAAGTGAGATTCCTCAAAAAGGCACTAGTCATTACATGCATGAGATGATCATACCCATTTGGAAGGCATTTGATGCCGCAGTTATATGTTTTTTTATGTTTTCTGAATTCCAGTGCAGATTTCATTTGTTTTCTTTGATGTGCCGATGCTCATGACCAGTGCAGATTGGCACTTTGCTGCCAGGATGATGTCAGATGTCGAAATGAAGTTGAACTTGAACCCCGAGAGTACGCAATTGAATCCACTGACCACTGTATTAGTTCCAGTATGGAAGTTTTCAGACAAATGAAGCTTTTAGTGCTAGTATGAAATATGGGAAAAAACTTCAAATATATCTATACTCCTTTAAAAAAAAACTCTTAATGATGATGGTGAATGATAAATTTGTCACCACTGCCATGAGGTCCCCAAACCTGTAAGGTAGGTGGACTTCTGCCCCTTCCAAATCCCAAACCATCAAACAGGAAAAAAAAATTAAATGTGGCATTGACAAAGTTTGAAAAGGTTCATTTTAGCAGCAATCTAAATAGGTCCATAGACCTTTCTATGATAGATGACAGATTTCAAAGGGATTACAAGAGTGAAAGACTCCTCACTCCTCTAGTGGCAGTGTGGCACCAGGGTCCTCCAAAGATGTAGTGATGCACGGGATCTAGCAAGAAATTGAGAGCTTGAGGTGAAGGCAACATAGTTAAGAAGTTTGAGGTGGTGGAGGCAATGGCAAACGGAGTTTGAGGTGAGGTTGCAACGGTGAAGAGCTCAAGATGGTGATAGTGATAAAAATTACAAAAGCTTAAGATAGAGGATGACAACAACTAGAGCTCGAGGTGGAGGCCATGAAGAGCCCAGGTGGGAGATAATCTCAACAAGCTTAAAAATGTGAGAATGACTTGGATATAGCGGTGGTGCCTCAAGGAGCTTATGGTGGATGCAGGAGATCGTGCTCACGTTGGTGGCGCTATCAAGCGAGCCAAGTAGTTGAGATAATTAATAAGCAAATGTGGATCTTTTTTTCTTTATGGAAGTTGTAGAGAATTAGAAACATCTCTACTTTTCATAACAAATTAGTTTTTTTTTCCTTAAAGGTTAGGTTTGCCTACTTTCTTTATTCCAAGCTAGCTAAATTATATCAAATGAGCAAATATCTTCATAGATAACATAAGTCATCAAAGTTCTCGGGTCGATGGATTGAAATTCTCGAGTTGATGGGTAGAAACCTAAATAGTTCAATAAGTCACAAACAAGATTATCATCCTATCCCCAATATTGACAAAAACAAATTAACAACTAACGCATGATCAGTGGTGGAGCCAGGATTTTCACCATAGGTGTGCTCACACAATTGTAAAGAGTCGGCCAAATCAAGAACATCAAACACAAAAACACAATAAAGTCTTAATTTATTCAAGTACAATATAAGTACTTCAAATTTTAGTTTTATCAAACCATTTAATTGCACCGTCATTTAATTGAACTCACTCCATTTTTCAACTTTTCAATCGAATACTCAAAGTGAAATACTGAATCTGAACTGTTGTACATAGAGACTGGAATGCTGGGCATTGAATGCCTGGAGATGGATACTTGGAGTGCTCGTTGCCCATGGTTGCCTTGCGGTTGCTTGAACTGGATCAACCATGGCGGTGTGCTGCACCTCCGTCCGGCGCACCTAAGTGCCAGCTCCTCCGCCGACTATATGGCTACCACTGTGGCCTTGCCATCTCGAGGACAATGCGCCATGCTCATGCCGCCGCGGTGCCGCCTTGCCATGACATCACGAGAAAGGAGAAAACCTATATGTGTAAGAGCGAGACACAGATGACAAATGAACTCATTGCACTTGCACACATATTTTACTCGTTTGGTGGGGGTGTGTAGAGCCAGGATGGATTCTCGGACCTTAGTATTTATTCAACAAGGCACCCATATATTGTTTTCATATTTTCTGGGTAAGCCGGTACCCACCTGGCACCCCGTGTCGTCCCTACGCATGATAAAAATAAGATATAATTATATACTCCATTTGACAGTTTTGTAAACGTAAATCACAATATACAAAATAAAAATAGTATAGAGAAAATGTCTAACTGTCAACCGCCAATTTACTATATCAACACGAATTACCCCCCAATACCCACATCTCTTCAACATGCGTTCACCCTGGGGAGGCAATCCCGTCATTTCCTGCGCTGCCGTTTTTAGGAATCATTCCCGGATACGATACCCCCCGCAAAGGCAGAGAGAGAGAGAGAGAGAGAGAGAGAGCGCTTCCCGTTTTTCCCCCAAAAAGCGAGACGACGACGCGCGACGGGACAGGACAGGGGTGGGAGACGCATGCGACGCGGGCGGAGAGGAGACACGACCCACCCCCGCCACCGCCCGGAGGAGCCACGAGCGAGCAAGCCCTAGCCCCCGGGCGCGAGGGCGGCGGCCGCTGCTGCGTCGACCGTCTCTCTCTCGTGCTCCGGCGCTGCTCGTCGTCTCCTTGGCCGAATCCAATCCGGGAGGTGCGGGGGCCGTTCCGATCGAGTCGGTCCTGCCATGTCGACCAAGAGGTAATCTCGATTCGATTCGATTCCTGTTGGGTCCGCTGTTTTTTGGACGATTTGGAGCCAAAGTTCGGTGAGAGGCCTGGCGTGTGAGCCACGAGCTTTTCAATTTTGTTTTTGTGCGGGGCGGTGGTGGAGCCGCGTGTGGGATTCGGGCGCGGTGGTGGTGGGTTTGAGCTTGCCTAAGACCTAGGGTTAACCTCCTCCGGTGATTTGGATTTTGCTGAAGGGCAGAATGGTGGTAAGGCGGGCTTTGAGCTAACGCGCTGCTCGTTTTGGGGCAATTTGGGCATAGGGTGTAGCTTAGTTGATGTACGCTAATCTGCCACATTAGCTGTAATTTTTCGCTTTCGTGGAGTTTCACTATCTTCGTAATTTAGCATGGAGGAAGAATCCGGATGGCGGTTCAGTTGCTTTTGCGCTTCCATTACCTCTGGTTGCTTCGAGTCAAATATGTTGCGTTTGCGCCTCCATTAACTCTGGTTGCTTAGCCAAATGTGTTATACCTGCTAAACGCGTTGAAGGCCCAAACGTCGCCCTCCTTTTAGGGCTTTAGGTATGGTTTGGATTATGAATTTGTGATGTGTCCGCGTTTCGTTTGATTGTTGTGCTGGTAGGTTGAATAAGGGGAGTGCTGGAGTGGCTTGTGTTTACTTCGCTTTTCTGCATATTTTGGTTCTCCGCACTTTACAGGTCAAATGAGAGTATCAATTTTGACTCTGGTGCCCCATTTTATGCCAGCAACTGATAAGCACACTGGTTTGGCAGCGCCTTAGGGTGGTCCTTGACTTGCCTGTTTTACTACGAATTTTGAATATTACAGCATCGTGTAAATGAAAGTAGTTAGATTGGGCTCAGTTTAATGGTGGCATATATGCTGCTTGTTCAATTCTATAAACACAACAATTGCGCTAGGGGATCTGGTCTGTGGATTTCAACAAAGGTTATATATTCGAGTTGCTTAAAGCTCTACATTATACGAAAGAATTAGAACTACTGCTATTGTTGATATATAAGATGTTAAAAGTATTGAAGTAAGCAAAGCAAGATGCTCAATAGTAACCTCATTAGTATGAGATGCAATCCCTTCAGACTGGTCATTTAATTTGGTTGCCCTGGCATCAGTCCTAAGATGATTGTTTTCACATTTGATTTGCTTATGGAAAGGCTCCACAAAAACTTGTTATGTTATCCTGATTCAGATCATTCCCTTCCTGGGATTGAACGGAAAGTTCTGGTAGTTTGCTTACAGTTCTTTTGGTTATGTTTTGATCTATCAGGGTTCTTTGCAAGTTCTTCATGCATGGAGCTTGCTTGAAAGGAGAGTACTGTGAGTTCTCCCATGATTGGAATGATCAACCAAACAATGTAATGTATTAGTAAATGATTGATGTGCTCTGATTTCATTGCCATACTTAACAGTGCAAATCTTCTACTGTTCCTTACTTTGATTCTTACTTGCTCAGGTTTGCACGTTCTACCAGAAAGGTTCATGCTCGTATGGTAGCCGTTGCCGATATGACCATGTCAAAGTTTCTCGTAACCCCACAGTGGCTCCACCACCAAGCTCAAGTACTACAACACGTGCATCTAGTTCTCTTCAGCCTTTGAGTTTCGGGCGCCCTCACCATGTGGGGTACCAAGCAGATTCAAGCAACCCAAGGCAACAGATATCTATGGATGTGCTGGCACATTCTGGAAGTAAGCCTGTATGGAGAAATGATTTTCAACATGAAAGTGTACTTGAGGATGGGATTGACTGGTCAATAAGTCCAACTGTGCAAAACCAGACAACCTTGAGTCCTGCTGATCTGCCAATCTGTTCTTTTGCTGCTGGTGGTAATTGTCCTTATGGGGAAGAGTGCCCTCAGATGCATGGAGATCTGTGCACAACCTGTGGGAAAATGTGCTTACATCCTTATCGTCCTGATGAGAGGGAGGAACATACCAAGCTATGTGAGAAAAACCACAAGCGTCTTGAGTCTTTGAAACGTAGCCAAGAGATAGAATGCAGTGTCTGCCTGGACCGTGTGCTCTCAAAGCCTACTGCTGCTGAAAGGAAGTTTGGACTCTTATCTGAGTGTGATCATCCCTTCTGTATTTCATGTATTAGAAATTGGCGTAACAATTCTCCTACGTCTGGAATGGATGTGAACTCAGCACTGAGGGCTTGTCCAATATGTCGCAAACTTTCATACTATGTCATTCCAAGTGTTCTTTGGTACTTTTCGAAGGAGGAAAAGCTGGAGATTATTGACAACTATAAAGCCAAACTCAAGTAAGTTTGACAATTTTTATATCATTTTTTTCTGTGGCATGTTCTCTTATGTGCAAGATTGTTGGCATATTCTTTATAATTTATTGAATGAGCATAGTCATCAATTTATTTGAAAATGACATTTCTTATGCATGCCCTTTTCTGAAATATCCAAGCTGATATATTTCGTGAGGAGTGATTTATGTTTAATACTATTATGTCCCTGAATATTCGAGGAATGTTTACTATTGCAGGTCTATTGACTGCAAGTACTTCGATTTTGGAACTGGTACTTGTCCCTTTGGGTCAAGCTGTTTCTACAAGGTAGAAAGCTATATCTTTACATGCTATAAACATGTGAATTCAGTGCTACTAATGTACTTTTGTGGCTTGTCATCAACATAAATCTCACTAGCTATCCAGATAACTAGAGAGCCCTATAAACAATCGCCCGCCTGTCTATTGGCATTTGGCACTAAGTCAAGCACCTGGTCTAAACAAATCAGTTGCTTGGCACCTTTTTACTCAATCAGTTGCTCTGATGGAAACTGCCCAACTTATGTTCTTACATCAGATTACACCATCTGCAAATCCCTAAAGACCTTTTGTGTTACTGGAATTTATGAGTGTCTGCAAGCGTGGCTTAATATTTTCTCTCTTTTTTTTTCTTTTAAATGCTGCTCCTTGGGCATCCTAGGTCCTACCTTCACCACAGTCCACAGCCTTTATGTCGGTTTAAGGAGTTGCCAAAAATATGATGATGTCTATACTATACAATACAATTAACTCAAGACAAGACTTATTAGTAATGCTTATGGACCCTGTTAGATAATTCTTGAAAAATAATGGTATAATTTTTCCCCTCAATATTTGGTGTTCATTGCTAGCTTGTTACCATCTAGTGAATTTTTAACCAATAGTGTGGACTCCAACGTTTTTTTAATCAATGATTATATTTACATAGTGTAATTTTACATTAGCTCAAATGGTTCAAGTTGATTAGCAGTATCTATCACACTCTGGCAAGTGTAATTGGTAGGTATGCTAGGTAGGCCTCTTGGGCTCAGAGGTTTGTGTCCAGGAGGTGCTGTGATTAGTTGGTGTGCAGTTTTTAGCATTAATGGATGTAGAAAGAATCGAGATGCAAAACAGAGAAACTGGACGAGGCATTATGTTTATAGAGAATGAGACTGGCGCCTTTTTTATACAGAGAAGTCCCTGACAGCACTAGATTGCACCATATAAAGTGTCCTAATATTACATTGAAGTATTTCACTGCTTAATAAATCATAACATTGTACTAACATAGTGCACTTCCTAATAATCCATATCAGGAGAAAACCAACTAAATCAGTTCCTGGCAAAAATCATATCAGCTAAACATATATAGCATCTTAATGTTGTGTTCGTCTTGAACTCTGTCGCACACGTTGCATCTCGTCATGTTTGCCCAGCTGCTGCCATACCACTGTCGCTCCTTAGTAATTTCTCCACATGAGAACATACTTAAAAGAACCCTAGACAACGCTTATGTTGTGGCTTTTCCACTTTTATTCTACATTCAAGCTTGTATCTTGTATGTGATTTTCATACTGGTCCAGTATGAGTAGAGTGTATTGTGCATTCTGTTAATATTTGGGGAAACTGATCTCTTGTTCTCTCTTTTTAGTTTTTACTATCACCTTGTTGAATAGCATTAGGTACTATTGCTGTAAACTGTGCACTTTACTGGACAGTCTTTTCATGTCATTGAAACTAAACATTGTACCTCATGTTTGACAGCATGCCTACAGAGACGGACGCTTGGAAGAGGTCATACTGCGACATCTTGATGCTGACGATGGAAGTACAGTGATTGCCAAAAATATTAGGTATGTGCTCTCTTTTAGGTGTCTATTTAATATATTTTCTCATTTTAATGTATTATCATCCTTTACGTGTTCCAGGTTGTCGGACTTCCTCAGTCGGTTACATCTTTAGGGACCAGTGACTGTATATATGTCAAATGTAAGATTTATCTTTTTGGTAATCAATATAGAATCAACTCAATGTTGCATTGTTGCTCTTATTTTTCGCCAGCTCACTTAAAAAGCATTGTGCATCTGGAAATGGTGCTACATGTCATGTATTTGCTGTTGTTGGAGATGGTTTCTATGATGTCTCCCTATAGATCAAAATTATAACATTTATGGTCTTTTAAGATGTGCATTGTTCAAAGTTTCATTCTGGTGGATTTAAAATATAACAGATCCTGCAATTAGATTTCTTGTCAACATTTCATTAGTTTTTCGTCCGTTATGCTATTCATTTTATTGTTATATCCCTATCAAATCTTTTTCTCTTCATATTTTGACCAAGTGATGAAGTGGACCATCTGTATCCAGGAATTCTGGGGTTTCGCTGTCTACCAAATATTAGTATTACTTGGATACTGTTTAAACCCAGGGTCAGGGAGCATCTTGTAGTGGTCGTACAAAGTCAGTCCTTGTACTAAAAACTGTCGTTCTTTTTCCTGCCATGCATAACTTGTCACTAACTGCCTAGGATCCTTACCAAAGATGTGTATGATCTTAAGCTAACAAGAGTCGCATTCTTCAATGCAGAATTATTGAAGTTCGCAGCAGGCCTCCTGGAGGAAGCAATCGTGATCTGAGGACAAGGAAAACAGAAGTTTTGTCGCAAATACGCTCAATAGTCCAAACGTTAGAACTAAACTGTTGAAAAACTTTGCCATATCCACTCATCTTGCCTCCTGGCCAGCAGTGATTCAGTAAACATTCACTGGCCATCGTGCCAAAGCACAGGTGTATAATACTATTCCTTCCTCAATGCTCTCTACTGAGGGAAGGCTGCCTGCACCCAACCACAGGCCACCTGATGCCGTGTGATTGTACTTGTATGAAAAGAAGGAACTAGAAAAAAAGAAAGAGAGGATGAAACAAAGATTACTCTTCAGACTACACATTGATGAATCCGCATTAGGACGAGGTCCAGATGCTTAAAGCCGTTTGGTTGTCTTGGTCTGAGGGAGAGAAGGAAAACAAGAAAGGAAACAAATCACATTCTTTATAAACATCAGTGTTGAATGTGGCATGTGCTAATGTGCTATATATATCTGATGTTGATATGCCCTGTACATGTTCCTGGAACAGGTTGGCGCTTTTGCTCAGGAAACAGGAACGTCTGCCTATTTGTGGTGGCTTTCTTCTGTGTGATTCGATTTGTGCCCCTGTCTATTCTCTCGAGCGAAGTAGCGCAGGCTGTGTTTCCTCTGTGAATCGTAAAGGCCTTACGACGTATACGGGCCTGTTTACATACCCTGTCACATTAAATCGTCAAATGTTTGATATATGTATGGAGTATTAAATATAAACGAAAAAAATAACTAATTATACAGATTACGTGTAAATTACGAGCGAATCTTTTAAGTCTAATTGCACAATGATTTAACAATGTGGTGCTACAGTAAACATTTGCTAATGATGGATTAATTAGGCTTGATAAATTCGTCCTGCGGTTTACAGGCGGATTCTGTAATTTGTTTTCTTATTAGACTACGTTTAATATTTTAAATATGTGTCCGTATATCCGATGTGACACGCCAAAACTTTACACTCCTGAATCTAAACATAGCCGTAAATGCAAAGCATAGCCAGTCTCTCGAGATTAACAAAATTCACTATTGGTTCTTCCTTTGCAAGATAAGTATATATACATTGCGTCATGTTTATTAAAAACAGAGAACCTTAGCCCTGTTGCAGGGTGAAACTTGGAAGCAATATATACAAGTCGGAACTTGGAAGTGTAATTTACTCTTCCTAAACTATACTATCCTTCAGCGTACCTTTTAACCCATAGTGGCTTACACACTGAGCTTCAACGATGCAGATGTGGTAACCAACCACACGCACAAAAGAATGAAGTTTAACCGTTTGAGGTTTCTAGTTCGTTTATCGTGTTGTGGGGAAGTGTTAATCTTCGATGCTGATTGGCTCGACGACCAGAAGCACAGTTCAGTGATTTTGCCACAATGGAAGCATTCGCAGCCGGCTAATCGTATTTGACGGTTTGTTTAGTTGGAATTGACAGCGTGCACGTTACTGTAAGCCTGAACTGGTGTCCATTGGGATAGCGTACAATTCGTGTATCGGGGTTTTGATCTCGAACCATGTCGATCGAACCTTAAATTGGATTAGAGTCAGTCTAAACATATGTATATTGCGCAATCAGATGTGGACATGCATACGGTAGTAAAATACAAGCATCACTGCATCAGGCCAATAGCCTGACAGTGCGTGGTCGTCATATCATTCTCTCGACAAAAGAAATTTTATTGGGGAAATCGCTTGTTTGTCATGAAGTTGAGTGGCCTCCTCTGCTTTTTTTTTAATTTAATTTTATTTTGTAGGTGGCCTCTGCTTTTGTTACAGAGTTTCTTGCCTTTGCTTATCTGCACCATACAAGGCACTCAACTACGTGAGGTAACAAGTTTTTATGGCAAAAGGTGCCATTCAACTTCATGACCGACGAGCAAATAAGATTTGCACCAACTGAGATCACCTGCATGCATCCTATTCTCATTTGATATAAAAAAATTGAAGCAATATTGAAGTTGCTGGTGCAAAAGGATCATTTCAGAAGATGAAATGATCCGGATTTATTCATACGAATGAAGGCACATAGTAGTAGTAGTAATTAATGAGGTACAGAAATGGTACACAGAAAAGAATGTCCATCAGCGAGATCAAGAGCACAAGAACCACTCAACATCAAACTACCCTCACTCAATAATCTCTCTCTCTCTCCCCCAAAGAAGAAGGAATTATAATAAAGAAGAAAGAAACCAACTATGCATGATTTGATCGCAGCTCGATCGACGCAACCAAATCCGGAGCCACGCGCGCGGGAGAAGCCGGAGTCGTCGCGTCGTCGTCTACTGCATGAGCGCCGCCGCGAGCAGGGTGACGAGCGCGGAGGACGCGACGGCGAGCGGGGACGCGCTCCCGGGCGCCGCCCCGGCCATCGGCGACGGCGCCGGCGAGGAGGCCGGCGCGTTGAATTCCTGCGCCGACGCCATCACGAGGAGCGATGAGGCCACGGCCATCAGCAGCACCGCCACGCGGGGAGCCATCGTAAACCCGACGAAGAAGAAGAAGAAAAACGTAGCACGTAGCCCGACGCGAGCGAGAGGAGACTCAAATCACAAAGCGTCGTGGTGGTGGTGGTGGAAATGTGGAATGGAATATGGGCGGAATATATAGCGAGGGCGAGGCAGCGCGCGTTTGGGTGGATGGAGGACAGGCTGGGCCTGGGCCGCCGGTTTCGCGGGCGGTCGCCGTCACGCGTTTTTTTGTGTGGTTTTCCCCAAGCGCAGAGCCGTAGACCGACTGATCGATCGACCCGTCTCCGGCACGGCAAGGGGCGAGATGACGCGTCTCGCTCGCCTCGCGTTGGTCGCGGGCGCGGGGGTGGGAACGCGCGCGAGGCGAGTCGGTGACTCGGTTCGGTGCTCGGCTTTCCGCGTGCGTGGGGTGGGGGGTTGGCGCCCACGGCTCGCGGTCCGCGGCTGTCACGCTGGTTGGCGGGGCTCCACCGCCGACCAGACCGCGGGCTAAGGGCACGTTAGCGCAGCGCGCGGGCGGTCGCGTGCGGGATGGCGGGGGAAAAGGGCGACGAAAAATGCCCGGTTTGAGATGGTGGCGGCACGCGAACGCGGGTCGGGGTAAACCGCACTAGCACGATCGATCGCTCGATCGCTTTTTTTTTTTGTTGTTGTTGTAGCTTTTGATGCAAAAGGCGGGGGAGGTAAGTGGTAAAAGTCGCGGGCGCGTTTACTGGCTGCGGAAAAGTGGAAGACTAGAGAGGGACTAGAGTATGCTTTGCTTAGGTTGGGTTGTGGGGGGAAAGGTATTTAGCACTTGCCGTGGGAGGTAAGCAGAGTATCGTGCATCTCGCGTATTACTTTGTGTCGTGTACTCGTGTGCGTGGACGTGTTGCCGTCCCGTGACCGGTCGGGTTCATGTGTACAACTGACAACTCTACATGTGTGTGGCGCACACAGCAAGTATGCTCTTCAGGATATATTCACGAGTCGACGTGTCTCCTCCCCGTAAAAGATAAGGGAAAAAAAAAAGAAGCATACAAGGGAGGGAATCGAACAGAGAGGAGTGGTTCGCGTAGCTTTTTGTCAGGCGATAGCAAAGGCACGGTATGGAGCTGGCAAGACCGAGAACACCCCCAGTTCGGTACTCTGATCCTGTGCACGCACCGTTGTAGGAGTATACTAGTATACGACGACTTATACCGCAACAGTGGAAGCAACGCTAGCTTGACCGTACCCTGTCTGGTCAACTAATAACAAACAAATCATCTGGAAGTAGTAGTAGCTTAATTGTTTTGCTTGTACTACTACCTAAGAATTAGTTTGCCTTAACCACATGTTTGTTACAAAAGTCTCCGTGGAATTCTGGAATAATTACCAGCTGCACAATCAAAGGCGCGACCAGCGTACCCAATTAATCGTAGTCTAGAACACACCAACTTTGACACGAGGTTTTTCCCAAATTCGTGCATTGCCTGTGCCCAGGCATGATCCAGAGGCTTTACTTATTAATTCTATTATTACTATTAACAACGATTTAAACCATTGATTTTGATTTATACTAAGTTTTACGGGATTATCGCGGGTACGGTTCCCTAATCGTATGATTTGTACTAAACGATTGTTCGTCAGCACATTTCTTAGAAATTTTCTTTAAAATAATCTATCAATCTCCTAATTTTTATTTATTTGCACTCTTAAATAGTGGTTATAAACTCAGTTCCATCATCCCCAACATTCACTCTCTATTACCATTTTTTTAAAAAATGATAATTGAGACGGTAATATTAATATATATGGTAGTTTATCGAGAGAAAAAAATCATTTTGGGCATGTTCACTTTGATGAAAAAAAAAATCCTTACCAAATTTAGTTGCCAAAATTTTGATAACTTGCCAAAATTTTGATAACTTGCTAAAATTTTAGCAGGATTTCTTATATAGTTACCAAAATTTGACAGCAAACTAAATGTAGACACTTTTTGGCAACTTTACCAAATTTTGGTAAGGTTAAAAATGTTGGGCCTATTTACTTTGATGAAAAAAAAACCTTACCAAATTTAGGCATATTTGCTAAAATTTTGGCAGGATTTCTTATATAGTTACCAAAATTTAGTAGCAATCTAAATGTAGCCATTTTTAGCAACTTTACTAAAATTTGGTAAGGTTAAAAATGACATCAAAGTGAACAGACCTGTCATCAAAGTGAACAGGCCCTTTATTCCCCCACACCGAAGCACTTAACCCCCCTGAATTATTTTTGGTTCATATTACACTAAACCATTGAAAACAGTTCACTCCACTCACCTAACACTATTTATCTTTTTTCTCTTTATATAAGTCATATTTTGTACTAAAAATTTGGTAAAATATACATGCATTCACAACTTACGTCTTAATATTTTTTTTAAAGCACTCAACGCTAATTTAAACATCAAAATTTTAAAGTTTAACCAAATAAAATGAAAAAAAATTAAAAATATGTTTGAACTTTGATAACGGTGTCATCTACGCTCTATCAAATTTTAACTTTAAATACAACTAATACAAAGAGTAAAAAAAACATAGATGTCAGTAACACATGGAATTAGTTGGGGGAGTAAAATTTATTTTTTTTCTAGTGCATTAGACGATAAAAAATGGAAGTAGTAATAATAAGGACTATCATAAAGACTGTGTAATTTGTAACGACCTAATTAAATTCTCTCGCAAAATAAAAGATGGCCTTGACTACATTAATGCTCGCGAAAATGGCTTCCTTTGCTACCAACCTACCTGGCTACCTTTACGAGAGCCAGCAGAAACGGTGAGCACGTACGCACGCTGGATAGCCTCGCCGTGGCTGGTAAAACCCACACGACGACACGACGTGATGGACAACGAACGCATCATATCGCCGCCGAACAGCAAGGCAACCCCATCTGTATTCGCCGCCGCTTTCACCGACGGCGACTCGCCACCGTGGGCTGTGCAACTGTACATAAAACTACAGGTATCAATGTACATGACAGATGGATCGACATATGCGTCTCCTCGATCTCTGTCTCTTGTGTTCCAGGATTTGGCAGGACCGAAGACACCTGAAAAATCTGAAATGAAACCAGGAAAAACACACAAACACACACACACACACAAGAGAGAGGAATGAAGAAGAAAATCTCCGTTTGGATGTAGCCGAGGAACGAGGACAAAGGAGGCGAAAACTCTGGCGCCATACCATGCATACATGTTTCAGTGTTCGGTCGATGGTTCAGAGTGCTACATGCAGCTCAGACAGACAGACAGCCAAGCCAGCAGGATGAGAGAGACCACACCACACGCAGCCACAGCTAGCTGGACTACTGGACATGTGTTAGCTCACACAACTGTACAAGCAATTTGCAAGATTGCTAAGGCATCATTCTCTAAAAGAAAAGATTGCAACGCATGGGTCTCTCTGCTTTTCGGATAAATACCAGAGTTCGACTCCTGCAAGTGCAAAAACATGTCAAGTACTACTGTCTTTGCATTCACAAGTAAGGAAATATCAATGTCAGTTAATAAATGTTTTTAAATTTTACTACGTTCTTGATTAATGTTGCCTCCATGATGGTGATTATGTAACTTCTCGAAGATGTCTGAACTCTCTGAACTGAATGCCAGGAAATATCTGTGAGTTGCACGGGAGGAAGCCACATGTATAAAACAAAGGAAAATCTCTCCTACAGTGAAATACTTCAGAAATGCTCAGATTTCTGAATCTTGATCGAGAAAATATCTAAAAAAGGATTCAAAGCAGAGCTCACCACAAAAAGTGGCCTTCACCACTGGCTGTCCATGGCATGATCCACTCTGGGATCATGAACTAATACACCTGGGACGACACGGACAGCCTGAAAACCATACTAATCCCAACTGAAAAAGGCTGATTAGGTTGCCCCTTTAAACTCTCATTGCCCCCATCCTGTGCTGTGCACGCTGCAAATCTGCAACCGCTTTTGCTCATTTCTTTATCTTACAAGTGCATTCTGACTAATTATTTTCTCCCATAGATGATGTAGCATATGCAGGGAGTATCTTGGTTGTCTGCTCTCTGGCTTGCATGGACAAAGAACATGTATATATTTATCTTGTACTTCCCATCACTAATAGCTGTCATCATGATAAATTTGATACACTAATCAGTTCATCAACCAAACGTAATCAGGTATGTTTCTGAGTTCATATGAGGGCCACCTGTGCTTTGGGAAACGACAATCATTAGAAACCATCACACGCACATGCTTGAATGGAGTCATGGACCCACAGAATATTAAGCTAGCTCCTACAGGTTACCAGCCTTAAGCAAACACAACCTTCTTTTTCTTTTCACAGAACAAAAAAAAAAAAAACTCATGCTGTGCTCAAGTGCAACTAGGCCAAGGATTTGTGGTTTGTTTTCTTGAGACAAGTTTTCAATTGTTGGTAAGTACTATGTTCATTCTAAAAACTTTATTTGTAAATATATTTAATTCTAATGAAATGCAAGTGAATTGCCCATCTTTTTATATAACATGTGTTAATTTGGATGGTATTTAACTCATTATTCTACCATGCAAAGCATTTTTTTTCAAAAAAAAAAAAGATTACCCAGCCTCTACAATTATTCTACCAGAGCTAGAGGTCTGGAAAACAAATCCCGACTGACTCAATTAAATAAAGATAGTTGCATGCAGTTCACTTCTATTCTATATTAAGGAAAGAGAGCTTCAATTAATGGGAGGGGCAAGTGTTGAAATATAAGTAAATCTCCCATCCTTCTTTATGGTTTTTGGGTTTTAAAATGGCTATCAGATGTAACTCAACAATACTTTCAACTAGGAATATAGAGACTTAATACAAATTTAGACTAGGAGTTTCTTTTATTTCCATTTTATTCTTTTGGGACTAGCAATCTCTGTATGATTATATATGTTGATATTATTTTTTCAGTCAGGAAACATAACGGAAAAATCATCCGACAATGTTGTCATCGATTTAATTGGCTGGCTTGCTCGTTGTGGGCCCCATGTCGACACATACTTCATGGATGACATTGAACTAGCAATATATATATAATGTTTTGCGCTTTGCAGGCCTGCTTCATAAACAATTACGAACGCCACAAGTTGCCGAGATCTTTTTGCCAGCTTAGAACATGAGTCTCCAATAGTTTAATTAAACAATAAAAACTAGGCTAATTATGGTGAATATGTTTTGATGATTATCTGAACACCAAATTGCCCCATTAATAATGGGTAAGTAGTGGACCAACATAAGTTTATGCTAGGCATTTTACTACGATTAGAAATAATGTGCCAACGATTTTTTTTTATATATATACTCCACTATTAGTACGTACATCTCTAGTTTTCGCTTGTGCAGTGCTGTGGATGTCTACATTTTAGTTGAGTATAGTGCATGGGTGTTAGTGCAAGCTATCAAGTGTTTGCAATTTAGTCACTTACTGCAAAATAATCAGAGTAAATGTAGGATATATGTATCAGTGTTATTGATATCAAGTGGATGCAATTTATTAGTCATGCACCTTCATTGCAAAATGCTCAAGCTGCCACCTAAATGACTAGAATGATGTCCATAGTATTAAATAAGCTGCCACCTAAAATGAAAAATGAGGTGACAAGTGAATAAATGAAAAAAGAGAAGGAAACCATGCTTTGCATGAGACATAGTTTCTACACAACATCCAAGACATCATGTGGAATAAGTAGCATTAAAGTTAAGTATGAAATAGTGATGTTTGTATTGAAAGAGTAGTGTCTAGTACTAGTTTCTTGATGATGTGGAGTTCATAAAAACTATATACAGTGTCTTTGGTTGGGAATGGATGTCGTAGTTAATTTTTGGCATGACGTTGACCATTTATCTAGTTTTTTTTAAAAAATAATATATCAGTAATATGTTTCTCAGATATTTAGTCACTATTCACTCACAAAATTTGTTGCATTTTTGTTTTTTTTACGTGCACGATGACTAGTATCAGATAATAGCAGATAAATAGGTGATTTTGGTGAACCAACATTGCATTGCCGAAATATGCAAAGCCTACACCATTATTCCACAATTATTCTCAATCTAGTAGGATGCTCTCTTAGTCTCTTATTAGGAGGAAACAGTAATTCAGAATCCTTGCATCTTACGTTACAACAAAATATAAAAAATAAAACTGCAATGCATATGCATTTACTAAAATTTTTAATTTATAGCTGGCTTCAATCTGAACCATTCATTTTAACAGCTAACCAACTTAGAATTTTTCTACAAATTCAAACATAGCCAAGCAAGAGACTCGTTCTACCAGTCAGCCCTAACAAACTTCCCGCCCACTCATCTCACCCCACATGCACGCACGTAGCTAGCCAAACCCACATGGGCTAGCTAGTGCGCCTTGAAAACAAAAGCTCACAAATAAATTAACCAAAATTAGCCTCCTAATCCAGCTATAAGAACCCCCTTACACCACCCTTCCTCCTCACGCAAGCAGCAAGAAGGGCAACATTAACCCCAATCCTATCCTGCCAATAAAGCCCTTCCTTTCTTCCTCGTCTCCAGCGGCCGCTTCCTCGACCGTACCCTCCTCAGGATCATGGAGATGAAGAAGATTGCCTGCGCCGTCCTTGTCGCTGCCTCGGCCACCGTGGCCCTCGCCGTCGAGGCGCCCGCCCCTGCCCCCACCAGCGCCGCCGCCACCTCGGCCGCCTTCCCGGCGGTCGGCGCGGTGATCGGCGCCTCCATGCTGTCCTTCTTCGCCTACTACCTACAGTAAGGAAGGGAGGAATGATGAAGGTGTTGCGTGAGTGTGGGTGTGGAGGGGAGGAGAGGACATTTGGTTTGATATGTGTTCGTTATCGTTCATGTTATAATTAAGTGTCTAAATGTGGTTTTTGTTTGGATTTGATTGACAATGTTGATCCATTAGTCCATTCATTTAATTTGCTCGCCTTTTCTTCCCCTCGTGTGTTCATTTGCTAATTACATTTGTAAAGAGGGGAAAATGAGGTGGCATTACTATTATTTTTTATAATATGATAATTGGATATTAATCTGTGTTCATTTCTTTGGCTTGTGTTATAGTTTACCAGACATAATTTTGTCTTTTCATCATGTCGGATGAAAAGCTTTTCTATGTGGAAATAAGAAGATCACTACAAGAAACTTGTTAATCCATGACGGATTCTTGGTGACGGATTCATAAACCGTCACTGACAGAGGCAATCCGTGACAATAATTTGTTTTCCGTCATGGACGTGCACTAGTGGATATTCTTGGCCCGTTAACTCGTGACGGTTTTATCCAGATCGTCGCAGTGTGTGATTTTAAAATCGTCACAGTGTGACGATAATCAAAAGGCATTTCATCCGTGGCGATAATTTGTTTTCTGTCATGGACGTGCACTAGTGGATATTCTTGGCCCGTTAACTCATGACGGTTTTATCCAGATCGTCACAGTGTGTGATTTTAAAATCGTCAAAGTGTGACGATAATCAAAAGGCATTTCAAAACTTGTTTTGCTTGAAAAGGATTTGAATTTGAGGTTCAAATGAATTTTAAAAAAATGAAAAGCTACACTCTCTCTTGGACCATTTCTGGCTCACTCTCTCCTTCTCTTGGGCTCGGGCCAGCCTCCCTCTCGCGCTCTGCCCCTTCAGCTGGGCCAGCGGTCCATTTTCCACATGGGCAGCAAAGACAGGCTAAACCGCAGGCCACCCTGCGCCTTGTAAAAAAACAAGAAACAAAAACGTTGCCCTCTAGGGGCCTCGAACCCACGACCACATGCACAGTATTCATGAGGAAACACCACTGAGCCAGTGAAGTGTTTTGCCAAAGGACGTGCATTGTGTTATATATATATAACAGTTAGCAGGTAATGGACCTGCGCCACCTGCTCGTGGTGTTCATCATAAAATTTACGAGAATAGCTGCAGATTTTTACTTTTTAATGCGTGTATAAAAATTTAAATTAGTTTATCTCCCTCATACTAACTTCAAATTTAATTATTCTTTTTTTATAAAATTTTCTAAATTCACGATCTATCCATTTATTGTGCTATTACAACTATTATTTTTGTCATACTTTCATGTGACTTTGTTTTATCAATTAAAGATTTAAATTTCAAAAAGTGACAACTTCAAACAATATTTTGAAGCAGTAAATGATTGCAAAACAAATCAAACCCAAAAGACAATTTGTTTTTGAACTAAATTATTTTGTTACTAATTTGTTACTTGTATATGTTGCATATGGTAAAACTGAAAATATTTGCATATATATATGTAGTGTGCGAACAAAAAATATTTGGAGCTTGTAGGAATTTAACCTAACACCTATAGTTATCCAGCAACATTCATAGCTACTTCTTTTAGTTGATTAGGTATGCACTCACTTATACTTTTCACTACAAGAAATATATTAAAAGTTAAAGCAATTTAATCAAGTGAATTAATGAGGAAACTAAAATTTTCCTTTAAAAATCATGGCTGGAAATATTTTTGTAAAATTCTAAGTGGTCTAAATTATGCTCTAAAATTTTCCGTGAATTTTGGGAGCTCAATAACTAGTTTTAATAACACAAAGTTCATTTAACCTATTAAAATAAATGGAAAACAAATTAAAATATCTCTCTGTCCTTGGGCCTTTTTTGGCCCACGCAGCCTCTCTCTCCCTCCTGGGCCGGCTTCCCATTCCCCTCATCCTTCTTCGGGCTGCCAGCCTAGCCCATTTGCTCCTCCCTCACCGAGAAGTCCATTTTGCCTCCCTCTTCTCAATTAATTTTAAAATATAAAAACTCCGAGTCGAATTTTATCATACTAAATAAACTTATGTGAAAAATTTATCAAAAATAAAGTTGTATAACTTAATGAGATCTATCAATTTTATTTTGGTTATTTCTCCATCTGACTTTGATTGACCTATATAAAATTTGAATTTTAAATATAAGAAAAATCAAATAATTTTTCGGGTAGTAAATAATTTTAAATGAAAAAAATTGTCAACAACAAAGTTGTATAACTTATCAATATCTACAACTTTTGTTTTGGTCATTTTGCTATATGACTTCATTTCAATAATTTGAATTTGAATTTCAAATTATGACAACTTCAAACAACAGTTTCAAATACTAAATGATTTCAACTGAAAAAGTCATCAATAACAAAGTTGTATAAATCATCAATATCTATAACTTTTATTTTGGTCATTTCTTCATCCGACAAAGTAATAGTAACATTATTTACAAAATTTACATCTCTCTCTTATAGTTTATAAACTATATAAGAGATATGTATATTTTGTGAACAATGTTATAATTCGCTTTGTCGGATGAAGAAATGACCCAAATAAAAGTTATAGATCTTGATGAGTTATACCACTTTGTTATTGATGACTTTTTTAATTGAAATCATTTAGTATTTGAAAATGTTGTTTGAAGTTGTTATAATTTGAAATTCAAATTCATATTGTTCAAACCAAGTCATATAGAAAAATGACCAAAACAAAAGTTGTAAATATTGATGAGTTGTACAACTTTACTGTTGATGACTTTTTCATTTGAAATCATTTATTATTTGAAAATATTGTTTAAAGTTGTCATAATTTGAAATTCAAATTCAAATTTTGAAACAAAGTCATATAGCAAAATGACCAAAACAAAAGTTGTAGATCTCATTAAGTTATATAACTTTGTTTTTGACAACTTTTTCACATAAATTTATTTAGTATGATAAAATTCGATTTGAAGTTTTAATATTTTGAAATTAATTGAGAGGAGGGAGGAAAAACAGACGCTGGGCCGGCGGCCCGAAGGAGCAGCGGGCGCCACACTTTCAGTGCGGCGGGATGTTGATCAAAATTTCAACGTGAAATGACCATTTTGTCCAGATATTTTAGTGGTAACTTCGGATGCACCATGGGTATTTTAGTAAAATCGCATTGGTTCCTCAGCCCTAGCCGATCCAAATCAGATAAGCCGCCACCACACGCGAGGCACTACTGCAGATGAGACCGCCGGCCTCTGTCTCCGCCGCTGCTGGGCGCCGGCCTCCGTCTCCGCCGCCGCCGGGCGCCGCTCACTGCGCCGGCTTCCTCCCCCTTCGCTGCTTGCCGTGCCGGCATCCGTCTCCACCGCTGCCAGGCGCGGGAGCGGTGGATCCGCTGCCGCCGGCGCCTCTCGGGCCCGGAGGGGGCGTGCAGCGCAGCATCCGGAGCAGCCACCGGAGACGTGGATCGAGGTGGAAGAAGCACCGGCGAGGGAGAGCTCCGACGAGTCCTCCTCCTCCTCCTTCTCCGGCAGCAGGTCAGGGGCTCAGGGCGCAGATCCCCTCCCAGCAGCGCGCCTACTTCCTACATCTCGCGAGCTCCGTCCATCGAGAGGCTGCTCGAGGAGGACGCCGCACTGCTGCACGCGTGAGCATAGGGAGCACGGCAGGCGATCATGGTGGGCGAGGACGGTTTGACACGGATGAAAAAGAAGAGGAGAGGCGCCAGTCTTCAATTCTTGCTTCATGCCTTTCTTTCTTTGTTTCTTGCATTAGTTTTCTTGGTGAGTTTTGACGCATGTGCCTCACCCATGTGCAGGAGGGCGGAGGCGGGATCTGCTACTGTGAGAGGGGCTGGTGATTGGTGAAGCGCCCCAACTTCGACTGCGAGCGACCGCATCCCAACTGTAACCAATCTCTCTCTTTCCGCTGATGCTAGTTGCTTATCAAAGTTCCTGAATCTGATGAATGCAGAAACCTCTAATTTAGTTAAGCAAGTCAATTCATGCTGTAACAATATGATCTCTGACAAAAAACTGAATTCCTTGTTTCTGCAAATGCAAGTGCAGTCATAAATAAGAATATTCGTGAAAGTTTCATAGAAACTAGATAAAAAAAAGAAAGTGTTTTAGATAAAAAAAAGAAAGTGTTTTAGAAATCTACAGAAAGTGTTTACTTTCAGAAATCCACAGTTGCTATTTTCAGATATCTTCAAAACTGAATAGTGTTTTAATCCATTTGCCAACAAAAAGAAAAAGAGGTGCAGAAAACAGCTTACTTGGGGGATACCATGGATCATACTTGATTTGATCAGCTCAACGGTGATTTGATGCTATCTAGATTCATCCTTTTTTTTTAAGTTCAACACTGTACACATTTGCTGGACATAATGCATATATGTTGTTTTCAGCGTGACAAATACAATGAAGAAGAACCTAATGCATTTGATTTGTTCAAGGAGTTCCACTACAGCAAGAAAAAAAAATGCTACACCACTGCTGTACAGGAGGCTATTGTAAGATAAGTTTCAAACTTTGCTCTTTGTAATGCTTATTTTTAATTCTCTCATCAACAACAATGTTTGCTCCTTGCTTGCTAGACTCAAATGGAAAACAAGCTGTCTGCAAGTTCGATGAAGAGGACTCAATCTGAGATGGAAGCGAAACTTAATCTTTTGCTCAGTCAAGTTCGATCAAGTTAATTCATGCATGATGCTATATCTTTTGCTACTACATGCATTTTGCTGCTGCTGCTAACTTGTGTCAAGTCAATTTTGACTAAGCTAAGCTATACATGCTTGCATTTTGCTGCCGCAGCATTCATTAAGCTCCTAGACTTGTATGCATTGCTTGGAATCTCTATTTGTTGTTGGTTTGAGCCATGGTAAACTGCAAGGTTGTATGCACTTTGAATGTTGTAATCTGATGTTGGATGAAAAATCATGTGATATGATATTGAATGGAAAAATGATATTTCTATTTGATTTGCTGCTGCAACTATTATTTGCATGGGCTGTGTATATGGGCTTTAGTTGTGAAATTAAGCTGTATATATGGGCTGTAAGTGATGTAGTAGTGGGCTGAAAAGGGCACCAAAAAATGGTGACAAAATTGGGCTGCAAAGCTGCTGAAATGGGTTGTAAAGCTATTGAAAATGGGCTGCCAAAATGGCTGAAAAGGAGCTGCGAAAATGGATGAAATTGGGCTAAAAATTGGCCCATCTTTGATTTTGGCCTGTTAATAAATAGGTTGAGGTAGTGTCTACGTCATCATCCATGTAAGCATCCATGATGACGTGGCATTC